TCCGTGTGGATTTGACCATAGGCGTATCTGATTTTCCTTTGAATTGAATTTCTCTATTTTTCTATCCAAAATTCCATGATCCAAAGGAGTCTGAAAAGGTTTCAGGGCTCTGGTTGCATTTTAAAGAAATTTTCAGGATTTTGGTGTTGTTCATGTGTATTTGGAACACAGGAAGAGATAAAATTAAAAACACAGGAATTTTAGCTACACCGATCATTTCACGGGATAAAACGTGGGAAAAGAAACACATCCGGTCAAAACCTCTTTCTTTTTTTTTTTTTGAAAAGAGAGAATATATTAATGACTGAAATTGGGGTTACATTCTAGGTTGAGTAGTTCAGTGAGTTCTGCAGGAGAACTTAACAACCATTCACCGCAGATTCCTGAACTTACTACTAATCTAGGTAGCTTATGCGCTACTCCGTTTGATTCTCTCTTTATCTTGTGCACCTGCACCTGTTGTAGACACTCCATCCATCTTAGTGCCTCCCTGATCGTCCCAGCCCACTCCGATCTCAACTGAGTATTGTTTGCTAGTATTACAACATACTCCCTCTAAAATAAGTTAATCTAATATTAGATGTGATATAACATATATATAACACTCTCTCTGTTTTATATTATAACTTGTTTAATTTTTTTAAGTTAAATTTATTTAAGTTTGACCAAGTTTTTAAAAAATATAATAACATTTCCACTACAAAATAAATGTTGTATCAAAATATATTGAATATTAAAATTTAATGAAATTAATTTGATATTGTAGATGTTACTAATATCTTCTATAAACTTAGTCAAACCTAAATAATTTTGACTAAATATAAGCTAAATAACCTACTTCCTCCGTCCCAAAATATAGTAATTTTTAACTATGAATCTGGACACGAATCCCAAAATATAGCTAAAAATTGTTATATTTTAGGACGGAGCAGCATAATATGAAACGTCGGTAATCAACAACTAAAAACATGATTTAATAGAAGTAGATAGGACAGTTCTCACTTATACATTGTCGTGCTATTTTTTATAGTCCTAACATCACGTCAACCACGTCAAATGAGTGATGTGCAGGGTTTACAGTACCAACGGTAGCCGGTTGATTACCACGAAAACTATTGGCTAAGTAGGATCGAGAGCATAAAATAGGCAGTTTTCTGATTAAGTTTAAATAAATTCAAATTGAATTTTAATTCGACTATGAGTTTTCACTTCTATCATTGATTTTCTTTTTGTTGCTATGAAGTTACCGTTTCAGCTTTTAGCCACGCGAATCATCGATATTGCTTTGTCGTAGGTTTTCATGAAAACCGAGAATTCTTGTCTCGACATCGGTTTGGTGAACCTTTGGTGATGAGATCGTTGGCTCACCATATTTGCAAGGGGGAAATTGCTGCATGCCGCACGGCCACCGTGACATCATTTGATTAAGAGATCCACTTTAATTTGGTGCGGTACAGTACATGGTGCAATGAGAGGATTGGAGTGGGTGATGCTCACTCATGAGCCTGGTGAGTGGTAACTGACGGCCTGACGGGGCGCCAGTAACTGGGTGAGGGGATGGAATGGTCCGAAGCCTACCCATTGCTACGTGACTCGTCTGAAGCTCTGACCACGGGTCGGTGACTCGGTGTAACTTCTGATTACAGATTCCCGAAGCCTACCCATTGCTACCTCCCTCCAAAAAGTATAAGCATTTTTAACACTAATATAGGAGTAGATATTAAAAATATATATTAAAATGATTGGATAAAAGTTATAATAATTAAGAAAAGAAAATATATAAATAGTTAAATTCAATTCAATTGGCTGTGATTGGTTGAGAGTAATTTGGATGTTTGGTTGATGCCTAACCTTACCGTAACTAGTTGTGTCATGATGGCATAAGTGCAACTTAAAAATAGTTAGTCACAAGTGTGATATACTTAGCTTCAACTTTAAGAGAATGACATAAGGCTAAAAAAGTATGGCATAACATAGTTGCGATAACGAAACAAATACATATATAAGAAGCTATTGCATAACTAAAATATGACATGGTAAAGTACGGTAACCAACCAAATACCCTTAGATCAGTGGAAAAATAGTTTCATTTTAACATATGCTATTTTATTAGAAATATCTTCATCTTGTCAACATAGGCGTGTTCATAAATGGAGAAACAATATCCAACCTTCATGCAACAAATCGGCGGCCTATGATGGGAACATGGTTCTTGGGGCCTGATCCAAAAATTGTTGGAAAGGACTATGATTGCCTTTGTTCGGGAGCTGAAGAATGTGTGGCCCATACCCGTGAAATCTCTACATAGTGGCATAGTGCGGCATAAGTCCAGTTAACATCCCCTATCTTTTCATCTTTACTCCTCAATTTATAATACCGGGTTAAATTAGGTCCTCCGACAATATCGATGGCTGGTTTTAGTGAGGTGGGAAGTTGACCCGGTCCACCTGGGCTAACTAGGCGTTCACGTGACAAAAACAAAGTGGCTCCCACATGTCATACTCTTCTCTCTACCCCTCTTTTTCTCTTGAGATGTGCCGCAACGCCCCACCGACGCATGGGGAGCCGCTCTAGTCCACGTGCCTGGATCCCCAACAAGATGTCGCCGAGGACATGGCGGAGTCCATTATTGGCTTGAGCACCCACAATTAGGCGCTCCGCTCAGCCAGCCCGTGCTGCAGGCACACATCGGAGAAGGGACAATACCGCGTTGCGGCCTCTACCATCCGCCCGATGGTGCCATCGGTTGCAACCACTCCACCCACCGCGTCGAAGGCACCCCGTAGGGAGTAGAGTGTCGGGTGTAACGACACATGGCCGCAAAGGTGGCGGGAGACGCTGACACTACTGAGATGCAAATGGATTGCTGCACCACACCATTAGGGAGTGCGTCCATGCCGTTGTCACCACCACGCTCATGCACCTCAGAGGCGTGGCTAAGGGGAGGCCGTGAGGCATTAGGAGGAGAGTACTGCTAGCTACGGCCGTGCAGAGCAATAGGAGCACAGGGTGTGGTGGAGGAGGCGTGATGGGGTTGTGGCGACCACCGCTGTAGCCATGGCGGCGAGGAGAGGTGGGGGCGTGTTGATGTAAAAATACGAGGCCTGTGAGATCTACTTAACTCGATTACCAAATTTGGTCGTTAACAGGGTGTCTCGGGGACGGCCAGGAACACGGCAGCAGACACCGACGACGGCACCCTTAATGGCGGTGAGCTCGACAATGCCACGGCATCCGTGCCTAAAACCATCAAGCCACTAACTCGGTGATGGCGGAGAATAGAGGGGTGGCAGCTAGGTCGCATCCTCATATCTCCCCTACACATTCCTTAAGATCAGTGCACAGCTCAGTCACTACCAAGTACCAGCGGTGTCAACAAACTCGTCGTAGGCGGCAACACATGTTGAGGCTCTTTGTCGGCCTCGCCCAAAGGATGTGGATGAGAGCGACACGAGGGAGTGGGCTGTCGCCGCCGTCAGAAAGGGAAGGAGCTCGGGAGGAGGCGGCCACAGCTTTTAGCGGTCATGGAGGGGTAGATGTTAGTAGGGCGATGAGGCCGTTAACACCGACGAGAACCTCGTTGTTCCCACCCACCTCATTGTGGCCACCGAGGGGAATAACGGGGAACATATGAGAGAGTGGATAGAGGACGATGTTAATGACATGTGGGCCCTATATGCTACGTAGGTGCAACATCGGCTAAAAGAAACTCCTATACTGCTTTAGGATTTCTTCTACATCGGTATTGTAAATTAGGGGTTAAGATTTGTCTTGTAGTTTAGAACTCGATGGTAAGATGAGGGATGTAAAGTGACTTACTCCGCCCCATAGTGCTGATAGGAATTTTCCCAAAATATGCATTTCTTCTTTCTCGTGTAGAACTGAACATTACTGTATATTGATGACCCAATAAGGAAATACTCCAAATATAACGATACAATACTCGATCATCTTAAAATATAACACACAATTAGACACACACAATCATTTGAATATATTATTACATTTTAGGACGAATAAAGTATATAACTAAGCTTGTATTAGGGGTACCATAATGGTAACAGTACAGTAATCACAATTCAAGCATATTTTTTTAAAAAATAATTTTTAATTATTTTTTTTAAAAAAGGCTATTTTTGAGTTGCCACGCGCATTAACCAAAATTATTGTCGATGTAAGAGCAAGAATAATAGTGATAGCCCCATCGTTTGGCCTAAACAACCAAAGAATAAGCCAAAATTTGAATTTTTGAAGTTGATTTTAAAATGCTTTTAACGTAATTTTTGTTAATGTTGGCTTTTAAGTCGCTACGAACAAATCTACAAAAGTTTTACTTATAAATTAATTTTAATTTTCTAATAAGCCAAATAAGCCAATTTGGACCAAATGGGCAACTGATGAGAGCCTAAGTATGTATGAAGGAGAGAGAAATATATTAAATGCTTCAAGATAAATAATGCTCTCTACCCTTCATGATAAATACATGAAATACATAAGTATGAGAAAGATATAGGAGAAAAAAAAAACCAAGTTTATAGCTACTAATATTGGTGTACTAACTTTCACATGAACTAATACAATGAGCTCTATCCAACAGCAAACAACGGACTTCAACAAAGGCGGCAATAAACCAATCGGTGAAGCAGTGACCCTGCCCACAGAAAGGCTCCCGTTTTCCATCCATGGGATCGGTCACCCAAAACCCACCGGATGACGACGCGGCCGCCTCCCCTACCCCGCGCCACGCCAATCCATCCCACCCCCACCGTGCCCATCCCAACCGAAAATATTCCCAGCATATTCCCCCGAGATCCCGCATCCCCCCTCCCGGCCTCCCCCCATGAACCCCGTCCACGCGCCCACGCGTCCGCCACCGCTCGCGCTCCACCCAACGGCCCAGGAACCAGCCCACGCAGCGCCCCCGCGCCGCGCCACACCGTCCAGTCCTCCTACGTCAATTCCTCCCCGATCGGATGGATCGCCCCCCCGTATATATTTAAAATGTCCCCATTCTCCCTCGCTTTAAGCTAAGCCCCCCCACAAGAATTGGATAAGCTCGATTGACGATTGCCATGGTTGATCTGATCCACGAGACGGACGACGCGATGGCCGAGGCGGAGCTGCTGCTGGAGCGCAGCCGGGCGATCACCCTGAACGGCCGAGACAAGCGAGGCCGCGCCCTCGTCAGGATCGTCGGCAAGTACTTCCCCGGTAAGCTGAGCTCGGCCTCGCTCGTCAGATCCCCGCAATTCCGATGCTTTTGCCGGCGGAAAAGTGACCCCGTTTCCTTTGTCGCGGCAGCGCGCGCGCTGGGCGGGCGGGCGGAGGCGGCGTTGAGGGGGTACGTGCGGAGGCGCGTGCTCCCGGAGATCGGGGAGCGGGAGTTCGTGGTCGTGTACGTCCACTCCCTCGTCGACCGCGGCGACAACTTCCCCGGCGTCGCAGCGATCCGCGCGGCGTACGAGGCGCTGCCTGCCGCGGCCAAGGAGCGGCTGCGCGCGGTGTACTTCGTGCACCCGGGATTCCAGGCCCGCCTCTTCTTCGCCACCTTGGGGCGATTCCTCTTCAGCTCCGGGTATGTACATACAACGAATCACTCCGTGTGTGCTGCACTACGATTCGTGGGTGAGGCGCTGGTGTTTACCGTGGTTTCCTTGGAATTTTGGATCTTGCAGGCTGTACGAGAAGCTGAGGTACATGAGCAGGCTCGAGTACCTGTGGGAGCACGTGAGCAAGGGGGAGATGGAGGTCCCGGAATGCGCGCGCCGGCATGACGAGGAGCTCGAGCGCCGCCCGCTCATGGACTACGGCATCGAGGCTACTGACCGCCGGTGCATGTTCGACGCCGCGTCCATGGACACCTCGGCGTCCCTGCACTCGCTCCGGTGCATCTCGTAATCGTGGTGGCCGCTCGACTGTAGCATCCGTAGCTGGCCTCGCCCCGGTCCTATATTCGTAGCTAGCGAAGGCACTGCCGCACTGTCGTAGTTTGCAGGCCCTGTTGTTCTTCGTTCCATCTGTACAAAATAGTAGTATTTGTGGAAGTAAAAGAGATAATAAAGAGAAACAGTTTGAAATGCTTCCCTCGTTGCAGCTTCCACACAGATCTTATCAGCATAGGGTAGAGAAATCAAAATCCAACTTAACAAATCAACCAGTGCAGTAATTCGCAGGTCCTCATTTGCCATTTTTAACTATCGTGGAGTGGTAAATTCTCAATTATCCTCGCTGTCAACCTTTTAACAAATGAAACTGTAAGCAAAGGACTACTTGGAGAGATAACGTGTTAAAAAAAACTCTTATAGTTTTATGTTTGGAAAAAAAATGCAATTGCCTTATTACAGAAGTGTAAAAACCTCATCTAAGTATTTCTTCATGGTCAAATTCCACGGGGAGAAATGCAACCAAGCATAACTATGTATACTGATATAGATAAGAAAGCAAATAAAAACATCCTAACAATGAAATGAGTCAACCATTTCCCAATGTCCAATATTGACCAGAAGCACAATGGGATAGCATAGAACAAGTTCTAGCTAGAATGAAATGGATGGAAGCAACAAGAAACATATAGAAAGTTATAAAGCATAGTAACCATTTAGGATAGTTTCAGCAAACAAACATTGCAGAAGCATTTCTCAGGCGTCATAACTTGCCATGACACTGCCTCCAAATAAGTAACATATATCAAATTTATAACATTCTTATCCGGAAAAAAATAATGTCCATCCAAGGAAACACTGCCTATGTAAGCGCTGAAGCATTACACAACTTGACTATTTATGCCCGTATATCAATGAAAAAGAGATGCAGCCTTCAATCCAGTCTTGGTTCCATAAGCAATATTTCAAAGCCTCTCTCCAGACACATACAACAGACAGAAGTACTGTGTCCTACAAGTTCCTTTGGGAAAAGAGTCACTCACTAATATTATCACTTGGCACCGTCCCTTCATCAACACTCTCAACTGCAGCAGCAATACTTGCCTCAGTTCCAGCATTATCCATGTAGCGAAAATCTGGATAATTTCTGCTGTTCAACGAATGCAACCAGAGAGCTACAGCTCCCTCCTTGTGCTCCATTGCAGCGATATGAGGGAATATATACTTGAGCTTAAACTCTTCAGCCTCCTCAGAATAAGGTTCCATAGAAACCGCCTCATGTGAATCCTTCCATTTCTTGTTATATGAAGTGAACATGCATTCATCTAAGTACAGCCCAACCTCAGGCGCAGTAGGCACATTAAGATTGACATCCCTGTAACAGAAACATGATAAAAGAAATCAATTAGCATGCAAATAATATCTGTTGAACTATATAAAACTGCAGTACTCTTGTATGGAACTTACTTGCGGAACGCTACATCATAGATTGACTCAGGAGCACAGTTCCTCATCACAGCAACAGCAAGGCCAATCATCTTCCTAATCTGATGGAGCATGAAACTCTGCCCAACAACCTCGCACCTGATAAAATCAATCCCATCCAAATTCACTACACGATCAGCAGCAAAGGAAATGATGAACCTTTTGGCTGCAGGATCCTCCGCTTTAGTTCTGGTGGTGAAGTTGTGGAAATTGTGTGTTCCAACATATTTTTTGAGAATTCTATTAAACCTCTCTTTGACTTCATGAGTGTAAGAAAATGCACTTCTCAGGGGCATCTCTTCTAGACTGCTGCCTTCATAATCCACATCTTGTTTCTTTTCATCTTCAGTAACAACATCCATAGCTTGTTTCTTTCCATCTTCAGTAACAACAGTCTCAATACTACCTTTCTTTTCAGCCACAAATGAAGGATCAACATCAACTGAATCTGAATTCGTGTTGGAATCTGAATTCAGGATGGGGCAAACAGTCTCACTATTGCTAGCTGGTACAGCTTCAGAACAGAGAGTACCACCTGACAGTTGAACATCACATTTTTCTGCACCATTTGATCTCATTTCAGTGATTTGGGTATTGGTTTCATTATCAGGGATAGGTAAATCAACACTACGATCGCCAGTGCTTGCAGGATCACAATTTGCATCCTCATTTGAACCCACTGCAGCTTCCTCCCGGGAAGCCTCAACAGATTTCTCCTCCTGAAGGGCAGGATCGGGTACCTTACCCTCCCGGCCCATGACACCGGGCACCTTCCTACCCCTCTCTGAGCACTCAAGGCACTTCGTAAGCTCGCTCCCACTCCCAACGCTCGCCATGACGGCCTCACGGTCGGGGTGCGCGCTGGGGTCGAGCGCGAACACGGGCAGCAGGTACACATACCTCCGGCGGTCGCAGAACTTCTTCGCGTTGAACGAGTTGGTGACGCGGACGTAGCCGAAGGCGCGGATCTGGGGCGCGAGCTGCGCATTCAGGCGATCAGTGAAGACGGGCGGGTCGACGTAGAAGCGGCCGGAGACGACCTGCGCCGCGGCGCTGACGCCCTTGTCGGTGCGCGCCGCGCGGGCCCAGTCGTAGCGGCGGGGCGCGGCGCGGTCGGCCTCGGGCACGGCGCCGGCCCGGTAGAGCGCCTCCTCCAGGTCCCCCTCGATGGTGCGCGCGCCCGGGTTCTTCTGCATGCCCTGGTACCCCGCGCCGCAGTAGCCGAGCAGGATGGCCACCTTGCGACGCTTGTACCGGGGGGCGCGGGGCTGCGCGCCGTCGGCGCCAGCGGCGGAAGGCGAGGTGGGCTCCTGGTCGGGGTCGGAGGAGGAGGACATCTTGCGGCGCTTGGGGTGAGGCGGGGAGGCCGGTGGCGAGGCGGCGGCCATCGGAGCCGCGGGGGTTTTAGATGGCTAGGGTTTGGGTGCGGATCGGGGCAAAGTGAAGGGGAGAACAAAGGAATCGAATCGGGTCACAGTGCTGCAGTTTAGAAATGGGGACATTTCATTTCATCAAGAAAAAAAAAAGGAAAAATAATACGGGAGGCAAATTTGCCTAACTGGGCCGAATTAAAAGCCCATGATTATATAGACCGTGGGCCGCGAAAGAACGGGGAGGAATACTCTTGGGATTACGAAGGTCGGTTGTTGACTTCTTGTTGGCTTGTTTAGTACCATACCGATTATGTTGGGGAATTATAGATGCGGAAGGCGCTATAAAACGAGGAGGTGAGCGATCGTTAGAACTCATCTTTGCGCTTGGGGCAATGACGCAGCTAGTGAGGTTATACCGAGGCGCGTCAATTGCTGGTTGAAAACTATTTCCAAACCCCCTTTGCGGCCCATCCGGGCCTCAGAGAATTTCTGGAAGGGCTCCCTAACTAGGGTAAAGCCCACAATTCTAAACTTAAGTTTGCATTTGGAAAGTTATCCCAAAGTTAACGCAATTTTGAATTCGGTTTTGTGATATCCAAAGCTAAATACTCTCTCCGTTTCTAAATATTTGATGCTGTTGATTTTTTTAAATAGACTGCTCGTTTTATTCAAAAATTTTAAGTAATTATTAATTCTTTTTCTATCATTTAATTCATTGTTAAATATACTTATATTTATACATATATAGTTTTTAAATAAGACGAACGGTCGAACATGTGCTAAAAAATCAACGGTGTCAAATATTTAGGAATGGAGAGAGTATCAATTTTTTATTCTAATTTGTGATGCTACGACCAACTTTACCTTTCATACGTATAATCACTCTTAACAACCACCGTTTTTTGACAATTTGGTACTTTAAGAAAACTTATTTCAAAACTAACCCTCGTCAAAAACTTCAACTAAAAATAGACCGTGGACTTAGCGTCAATCCCGTTGGTGCTATGGTCCAACGTCTCAGCGCCAGTACGACGCTAAAATTTGCCACGCTAGCAGAGTTGATTGTGGACGTGGTACATAATAAGTAGACAGTGTGCTATTCATTACCAGGATCTATTGATAGTGCAGTGGTTGAAATGCTTGTTTGGTTTTCACCAGATTTTAAGTTCGATCCCCCATGTCTGCACTCTTTTTTTGGTATTTCTCTGTTGCCCATATAAATGCGAAAAAAAAGGTGCAAAGCTCAAGTTTCGAACCCAGGTCACCAACTAGCCAAGGGATGGGCTTCACCACTGCGCTACACATTACTACTTGATTTGAAAATATACTACACATAGTTAAGAGCTATACGGAGGTCAGCGCCAATGCATACTACACATACTTAAGAGCTATACGGAGGTCAGTGCCAAATGCATTGGCGCTGACCCTACGCCACGTCGGCAATCGGATCGACTGGTGATCCACGTGGGCAAGGGTTCAGCGCCAAAGTCACTGGCGCTGACCCGTTGGAACTCAGCGCCAACGGAACTGGCGCTGAGCCCACAGTCTATTTTTGGTTGAAGTTTTTGGCGAGGGTTAGTTTTCAAAATAAGTTTTTTAAAAGGACCAAATTGTCAAAAAAAAAAAACGGTAACAACCTCAGGTCCACGGCATATGATCCATATCCATGTTCCAGCTCTTGGTCAGCACATACACTGTTTAAACGCTTGCACAATCACGGCCAAATCCATAACAACAAACGCTAGCACTACGCTTGAGCTCGCACTGGTAGTTCACAGCATGGAGTCTCCAACTTCACCGGTTACCTTCTCGATGCCGCTCATCCTCCAGCCATTGGCCTGCGGCGCTACCGTTACCATCGTCAACAACTGCACCTTCACGGTGCGCGCGGGCGCCCTCCCAATCGTCGGCGGCTAATGGCTCACCTCACCCCAGGGCTCGTGTGGGCCGTCAACGTGTTCCCCCGGCGTCACCATCTGGCGAGCACCGGATGCTCCCTCAGCGGCAGTGGCAACACGGTCTTTGCCCAGGCCAGCTCCAAGTCCGGCGACTGCGGCGGCAGGCTGAATTGCACCGTCCCTGGCACCCCGCCGGACGGCCGGCTCTGGAGCAGGGCCATAAGGGCGATGGCCTAGGGCCCAGCCAAAATGGAGGCTCCGATCCAGGTATATACCCTATATAGGTATTTAGCCCAATAGCTTAGAATTGATCCTTCTCACTGATTAGAATTGATGATCCAATCCATTGATCCTTCTCACTAGATCAGGTGATGATCCAATCCATCGATTCTCTTCACTGATTCGAATTGAACTGTTCTTTTAATTTATTTTTTGTTCCCCATTAAATTACCTAGATTAGGGACTTAGGGTTCTACCATTCTGGTTCAACCGTTCAAGGGATCAATATAAGTATACAACCATTCAGTGCACCATAAGTCCATAAGCTAATTAAATTAAGGTATATGGTGGATTAGTTTTCATTAGGCCTAGGCCCTTGATTATATAGATTTTTCCCTCACTGATTTTAGGTCATAGTACTTTGTTTCTACTATGTTTTTTTAAGTTGTCAATCATACTATCGATATTATTTTATCGAAACAAATTACTATATTGCAACTTGTAAACTGCTTGATTTATTATTTACCACGTTAGAAATGTTTATTTATGTTACTATAGTATTTGTGGTTTATAGAGTATATATTACAAGTTAAAAAAAATACTCTTAACTTCTTAAGGGCATATAGTGTGAAGTTCGCCTAGGGCCCTCGAAAATGTTGAGCCGGCGGCCGCCGGTGACGGTGGCCGAGTTGGTGGTCGGGTGACAGTAAATATTTACTAATGATAGATTAATTAGGTTTAATAAATTTGTTTCACAGTTTACAGGTGGAATCTATAATTTGTTTTCTATTAATCTATGTTTAATACTGTAAATGTGTATCCGTATGCTTAAATAAAAATTTGGCACACGAACTAAAACACGGCCATATACGATCGATCAATTACAGTACACTGGGCTGCTGGAGTTCTACAAGGCTACTCGCGGGAAAGTTAAATAGGATGATGGGAAGAATAACTCACAACGTATTTACGCTTGCCCTTCCGTGGTCCGTGTTTTCACGCTGATCAGTAGTATATGTTTGCATTGGTTTGCTAGTCAGGCCGTCTCGGACCAACTGCCGTCCGGTGATTATTTCTCGTTGGTTTGGTCGTAACAAAAGGTCACGGCTTTGTCTAAAAGAATCCGAAAAGTGTTTTTATTTCTCGAGAGATATTTAGTTTAACTTTTTTTACAACTTATATATGTTGAATTTTGCCTTTTGTGGATTGGTATATTTCATATTAATCTATATTTTCATATATTGTTTTTAAAAAATTTTCTATAACTATTTAGATGACATAAAAAAAGAGGGGACATCTTCTGGAAGGATGAAAATCCATCTACAAAAGAACTTGATGTTGGATGGGTCAATCAAAGCATGCTTTTGGTTAAGGGACGGGATTGGGTTGGGTCGAACCTATTTATTTATCAGGGTATTTGGTTTAAAAATAAGTAAGATGGAATTGTACCCATCTAAGATTCGGATTGGCCTTATCCCTAAAAAGTTGACATACCAATCCAACTCACTTTTCTTCCTTGCTGGCATATGAGCTGCAATATAAAACATAGGATCATCAACTCTCTCGTGCCTTACGGATAGACGGTATCACCCCACCCTAAAAACAGTGATGAATTTGATCCAACCCACCCCACCCACAAACCAAACATATGTAAATGAACTTGAGTAATAAACTTTGTTTTTTATCAGGTGGCTCAATGGACCAATATGTCAGGATTAATTATTCCACCAAGGATTTCTTTATTAAGACCCAAATTTCTCCAAATAATAGATGATTACCCCGCCGTGTTGCTGCGGGAAATTAAGTTGTATAGTATGTACAAATAAGCTATATTATATTTTGTAAAAGAAAATAAAATGACTTCCTATGTTTTATATAATTTACACATGATTGCAAATATAATGCAAGGTGAACATATTTTATATAATTGATACATATGAATTTTGAAGAAAAAAACGATTGAAATTGTATGGTTTTATGATAGAAGAAAGAAGAGACTATTTGTACCATATATATACCATCCAAAGGCTAAAAATAATTAGAATGATGTGGCTTTATGAGAGAAGAGAGAAATAGCATTAAGTGCACTTAGTGGGGATGAACTATATAAGTATATAGGATGCGCAACCATCAATCCACTGTGATCAAATAGATAATACTTTACTTGAAGGCACAAACACAATTTGTACTTCCGAAATTCCCCATAAACCAAGTGTTATGAAAAAAAAAGAAGTGCAATTTTGTCCAGAGTTATTTTGCATACAACCATATTTATCATTTTAGAATCACAAAATATATTTTTCAGCCCCCCAAACTTATCCTGGGGTCTCATAGGTCCAAACGAGTTCTGACTCAATCCGTGTGCTGACGTGACATACCATGGTAGTGACTACATGTTAGCCATATAGAAAAAATAAAATTAAAGAAAAGTGATGGGGGAAGTTGTTTTTTAAAAAATTAAAAAGAGGGGGATAAAAGAATTTTCTAAAAAAAACTATCAATATGTCACTGAAATTGGGATCTCACCGATACGTAGGCATCTCCATGACATGTCACATCAGCATATAGAACGAGTAAAACCCGTTTGGATATATATGGCACTAGGACAAGTTTCATGATTTGCAAACAAAGGCAGCATATCCTGTGCAAATCTTGAAACACCATTTGTTTGCAAATCTTGCAGATCCGTGGTGTCCGTTCCTTGCCACCCTGCTTCTTACCAGTATTGTCATCCTTGCTTCTTCTAATTCTTTTGCTTCTCCCCCTCGAATGAATATCAGTTGGTGGGTGTATATCAATTTCAGTAGGAATTGTGCAACCAAGAAAAGACTCAAACTCCTCATGTCTAGTATGCTTGACATTAGACACCATTTGGTCCAAGGGTGCCTCAAGGTTGAACACACTAGATGTTAAGAAGTCAATGCCTTCATCTGAGTGCTTAGCCTTTTGTATGAGATCTTCAAATTTGTTGCGTGCAATTGATATTTTCTTTCTCATTGCCGCCTCCGAGGAGTCAATTGGCTTCTCTTCTATAAGGTTGCCTTGTTCGTCATACACATTCTCCCTACGATAACGATGTGGTTAGGAAACCAGTTTCAAAAAAAAATAGTGAGTGTATGCACTGTACAATTTTTTTCATGAACTGACTAAAACTAAAAGATTCAAGCAAAGAGTATATGCACACATTACCTTTTCACTCTTTTCTCCCATCTCTTCATGATGTATGCAGTTGGTAACTCATTTTGATTTTCACCTCTCAAAACTAGAATAATATGATGACACGGGATCCCATCGGACTCAAATAGCTTGCACGAACAGTTCGCTATCATTGTCGTTGTATTGCAACGGACTACCCTGAGCTTGTGAGATCCATCACTAATGGTAACAATTTTCAACCCATCACATTGTGCAATGTCTTTAACACAACAAAGATCTCTGGCGGCTATAATCTCTTCTCGAAGTTTGTCAAAAACCTCATGCGTGAACATAATGCTACCTTGTGTCTCCATTGCCCAAGGAGTTACAGGTTTGTATGTTGTATGGATGCTTGTGTTATCTGCCTTCAACTCCTCTTGGCGTTGGCATTCTAAAGATGTGACAAACCTGAGCCAAAACTCAACAAGAGCAAGCTTGCGATGAATGAAACGGTTGAAAAACGAATTTGCACTCTCTGACCTTGAAGTTGTTTTGAGAATGCCAGCCAAAGATATGTCCATGAAATATGCTGGAATCCATGATTTACGAATGTCAAACCTATTTGACAGCCACTCATTGTCCTCCAAGTGAAAGTCCAAAATGATAGATTTCCACTGTGATTCGAACTCAGTAGCAGTTTCTGATCTCCAAACACATGACTTCATCATTTCCCTTAAATCGCAGTCTTCTCTCCATAGTGGTCCGATCTTGTCTGACATTTTTTCCATGATATGCCACATACACAACCTATGCACCGTGGTTGGAAAAACTTTTTCAATAGCTGCTTTCATGCTGGCATCTTCGTCAGTTATGATGAGTGTAGGGGCTTTCCCTCCCATTGCTCTTAGGAAGGTCTTAAACAACCAAACATATGCTGGAATCTTCTCATTTGCTAAGAATGCAGCACCATAAAACACACTTTGCAAGTGATGATTTACCCCAGTAAATGGTGCAAAAATCATGTCATACTGGTTAGTGGTGTACGTAGAATCAAATGATACGATATCGCCAAAGTGACTATAGTTCTTCCTGCTTGTAGCATCTGCCCAAAACACATACTTCAATCTGCCATGTTCATCCACATCAAAATCATAAAAAAAGGATGAATTGACCTCATTTTTTCTACATAGCTGGGCCACAAACATTTGAGCATCCGCATTCTTAATTTTCTTTCTTAGGTCCCGATAGTAATTCTGCAAGTCTCTCTTAGTGCATCCAACATTCTGAAATCCCCCATCACTCACGTGAAGGAGCCTATATGCCTGGGAGGTTCCTATGCTTGCTCTGCTGCATGTGAAGAGTGTAGTTTTTGCCCTCTCACTAACTTCACGATTTGATCTTATCAAATGCAGCTTATCTGGCGATACAAGTCCATGACTATGGTGCTCAACCAAGGAAGCTATCGTGTACTTGTTATCAGAACATAGCTTCACGTAAATGTGTGCATCACATCCACATCTAGTTTCTTTCAATTTAATCTTTTTTTTCTTCGATGGATCAACAATCTCCTTATCATTCACATGTTTCCATCCTTGCCTTGAGCACACAAAGTGCTTGCACTGAACCACGCCATCCAACTTCTTTTGCTGCCCAATACGCACTGAGAACCCAACTTGGTGTGCATATGACTTGTAAAATTTTTCAACAGAGGCAATATCTTCAAATGTCATCCCTACCGCAGGCCTTATCTTATCATCACACTCTGGTGTAAAAACGGAGCACTGCAAAATCACATATACATTGCAATAAGCATTTTAAAGCACCTCAGTCATAATTTTTAAATTGCCAGTGTACTTACATTGAGTGGAATTCTTGATATTTTTTTTGGTGTACTGGTGTTGTCATCCTCTATTACTGGAGAAGTTATATCATCATTTGAATAAATATCTGAGTTATCTCGCACATCCAATCTATTTATTGCCTCCATCTGCAAAAAAAAAAACAGATAGCAAACAACTGAGATTAAACCTTTAATTTCCTTGAGTGAACAATTATGTTGGAGTTACCTACCTTAATATGCAGTAACAACAATACAGTGTACTTGCCAGGTTATGGAAATCTGTAGCTAGTCTGAACGAAAATTAGTGCAATCTAATCTTGTCTCTTGATGTATGCAATATGGAGCAGCCGCACGCCAGCACCAGCTATCCCTAACTAGCCTGTATATGAACGATATGAATGAGAAGAAACTAAAAATACCGTAGCATCAGGTTCGAAGTAGTGGAATGATTCGTCTCTTGATGGTGTAGAATGATTCGAAGTAGTCACAAGGTTCGGATGAACAGAAGACATCTGAGAGCAAAACAACGATCCCCTTCGCCTCGATGAAATATTTTGCCGGCGGCGCGCCGCGCATGGAACCACAAGAGGAGCTGAAGAGGCGTAGCATATCAGCGCCGTGATTAACGAGATCAGCTGAAGAGGCGGTACCAGATGGGCTGTTCTGCAAAACAGAAGTGGAGGAGGCGGGCGTGTATTCGTAAAATTGCCACGCTAGGAGACTTGGCCGTAGGATGTCGATCGAACGGATCCGGACGCACGTGTACACGAGTGCAGCTGTACTCCCGTGTGCACAGGATACCCTTCCTACTTATAATTGGCTTGCTATTTGTAGAGTTATGCATACTATTGCCAAATATAGTCTTAGTCAATGAACAACTAACATTAACAACTCCTAGTACCTCGAGGGGCAAGAGGATTGGAGCACTGTAAAAACACTAATAATAGTCATGGGTCGTGCTAATAGAAATTCTCATTTTACAAGAAGGGCAACAATCATGTTTCTTCCGCCTTACACACTTAATTAACATTGGTCACACGACAGCGGAACAGCTAGCTCATGGCATTCGGTCCAAGCCAAGTGCACCTCATATGTACGCGTGACAAAGAGGGTAGCATATATGTCTGGCTCAAACCTCACTAGCAACGCCCGAGATACGAACTCTTTTGCTTGCCCTGTTAGAACTCCTATTCTATTGCATATCAACATACTTTTGTTTGCCGGTTCATTCTATTTATCCTCGTCGACATCACATATTTACATCCTTCAGAAATGGGTTAAAGGACGGTGATATGAATCAATGACCAGGTCGTCATAGAGCTAGGTTAGTTGGCATGGAGCTCGAGAAGAACGGCAGGCTGTTTGGTTGATAGTCGAATTTTACCATGTCAAATCTTAGGTGTAGCGTAATTTCTTATACAGTGTTTGATTGTGTGTTACACTTGGAGTTAAGTCACACTTTATTAGTATGTTAGCTCACACATTATATATACTCTTATTTTCAAGACAAAGTTTATCACAATTGTGACTAACCGATAGTGATAAAGTTAACCTCCATCCAAACAGTCTCAGCTAGTTAAATGAGGAAATGAACATAGATAGATAGATAGATAGAGGATGAAGGAGGAGGAGAATAGTTATACACGGAAGTATTATGAACAAGATAAAAATTAAGTTTTAGTTCCTCCATCCCACAATGGGGTTGATCGTTTGTGCTACTTTCCAGCTGCAGGCATCTGGAGCAACAATAGTAGCAATCGAAAAATTAATTGTGGCTGCAGCAGCTGCTACGGCTGTGCTGCCACAGCTAGCACAAACAAACAACCCAAATATAAATAACTTTGGATGGATATGACACATACTAAGGCTATGTTCTTTGCCCAGGGTTCCCAACCCCTCTTCTTCGTTTTCTACGCGCACGCTTTTCAAACTGCTAAACATTGTATTTTTTGTAAAAAGTTTCTATATTAAAGTTGCTTAAAAAATCATATTGATCCATTTTTTTAAAAAAATTAGCTAATACTTAATTAATCACGCGTTAATGGACCGCTCCATTTTTCGCCCGGAGGGAATGAGTTTCCAACCTACATGAACGAATGCAACCTAATACTACGAATCTGAACGAACTATTCGCTTGGATTGAGGGCCCTCTTGATGCTTAGGTTAAGATTTAGTTAAACTTTTAATTTTCTAACTATCAATAATTTTTGAAATGCTTAGTTTGAAACCAAAAGAATTGTTCAGCATATATTTGTCTTAAAAAACCTATAATCATCATAAAATTTATTAGATCTTAAGCTTATTTTGATATAAAATTGATATTGGAATTTTTTTATGCTTTACCAAATCTATAAACGTCAAAAAAATTATTGAAGAGAATAATATCGAAAATAAATATGTTTTTATTGAAGGGTATAATATTGTAAACTTGTTTTCGATGATAAATATTTAGGACGTCGAAAAATGATGAGATACCAACATCGTTGTCATTGATACATGGTTATTTGGCCTTAGAGCCCGTATATAATTTTCTCTTTTCAAAAAGAAAAGAAACATTATACTTCATTCGTCTTAGAGAATTTAGATTAATAAGACACGTCGTATTACTACGAATCTAAACAAGATAAATATTTCTATGTGCCATCCAAAATCCTTATATTTCAGAAGGAAGGAAATACAAACGTACACGATCACCACGCGCACACTGACTTAATGTACACATTTACATCCCTACTTATATGAGCACTTTTCAAAGACTGTGATGTGTCATGATGATTACAATTTCATATACTTTTTACACTTGCAAGTTGGAACTATCCAAATTTTTCCATAAAAATGTAGGAAAACGTGTTCGCGGTGAGCGTGCCATTGTGCATTTGTGCTGCCACCACATTCACACGACTAACATGGTTAGCGAATGAGAAATTGCTGGACAGGTTCACACGACACGAGTGCACTCCACTAGTAGTGGATGGTTAGCGAATAAAGAGAAGAGCGGACGGCGTTATCAAATCCGTCAAGGAAACCACATCTGAAGTTGTGAACCCCCAATCCAATTCCAATCTCCCCCTTTCATCAGCGCCATGGCTCTCTCCTCCTTCTCCATGTCCCTCCCCTTCGCCAAGCTGCCTTCCACCTCCAAATCCACCCGCTTCCTTCCCATCCGGGCCTCCTCTGCCGCCGCCGCCGCCTCCCCTTCCTTCGATTTGCGCCTCTATTGGACATCCCTGATCGCCGATGTGGAGGCCGAGCTCGACGCCGCGATGCCCATCCGCACGCCGGAGAGAATCCACTCCGCCATGCGCTACGCCGTCCTCCCGGGCGCCGGCAACGAGGGCACCGCCAAGCGCGCGCCCCCGGTCCTCTGCGTCGCCGCCTGCGAGCTCCTCGGCGCGCCGCGCGAGGCCGCGCTCCCCGCCGCTGTGGCCCTCGAGATGCTCCACGCGGCGTCGCTCGTGCACGACGACCTCCCATGCTTCGACGCCGCGCCCACCCGCCGCGGGCGCCCCTCCACCCACGCCGCCTACGGCACCGACATGGCCGTCCTCGCCGGGGACGCGCTCTTCCCCCTCGCCTACACCCACGTCATCGCCCACACTCCGTCGCCCGACCCCGTACCCCACGCCGTCCTCCTCCGCGTCCTCGGGGAGCTAGCGCGCGCCGTGGGATCCACAGGCATGGCGGCCGGCCAATTCCTCGACCTCGCCGGCGCCACCGCCCTCGGCGAGGCCGAGGTCATGAAGGTTCTGACGAAGAAGTTCGGCGAGATGGCGGAGTGCTCCGCCGCCTGCGGCGCCATGCTGGGAGGCGCGGGGCCCGACGAGGAGGCCGCGCTGCGGCGCTACGGCCGCACCATCGGCGTCCTGTACCAGCTCGTCGACGACATCCGGAGCGCGTCGGGCAACGGCAAGATGAGGAGCAATGCCAGCGTCCTGCGCGCGCTGGGCATGGATCGAGCGCTCGGCATCGTAGAGGAGCTCAAAGCGCAGGCCAAGATGGAGGCCGACAGGTTCGGTGACAAGTATGGCGAAAGGGTGCTTCCCTTGTACAGCTTCGTGGACTATGCGGTGGAGAGGGGATTCGAGCTGCAGGATGCAGCTACAACGCCGTAGGCACGGACCGCGCAGACCAACCTTGATGCTACCGGATATTTGAAGTTCTGAGCAAGTGGTTATATATGGAGTTATATGCTGCTGAGATTTGGTGAGCAATTCATCTCTGAAATTATAAGTTTCAATGAGAAATATAAAGATTACGCCATTGCCATCTAGGGCAGATGTCTGGATACTTATGCTGCGGTTCTGATCTTTAGTTAGTTGCTGAAATAAGACGATGTGACTAAATGAAGAATTCTTAGGATAAACTACCACAATTGCTATGCCTTGGTGTTACATGTGCTTAATATATATAATCTGATCACAATTTCAAAGCCTGTATTGAGCTTCCCAATTGTATCAATTGTTCATTTGGAATCATCAAAGCATAATTTCGATCCTCATAAAGTATATTACTGGTTCTTCGTTTTCGGGTGAAATTAGCCATGATAGTTAGAGCATTTGTAGTTTTAGCTTGATTGACTTAGGTTTGAGTTGAAAATCATTGCCAATTGGGTCAAGCTTATACTAGGAATCTCACCTTCTCAAATCAATTCTTCTGGCAAGTTCTATTCAGGTACGACGCAGCACACATCACACCGGACTGGGATCCTCTAGGTCAGGTGACTTTAGAGTCACTCCACACCACTGGTCAGATAATCCCACATCTCTCCACAATCCCTGAATTACTTGCACCCGGACCCAACATGGATGCAGCCATGGCTGCCCCCTCTATTCTAGCACGCGATGGAAGGCGCAACCATTTAAACAGAAACCAGCCGGTGGCCGGTGCTTCATGCGCACCACCAGAGCCGGCGCCGATCTACATCTCCACCAGAGTATCAGATACAAAAACCAGAGTATCAGACTCGACGAACGACGCAGCAGGCCATTGGCCTCGCAGCTTCACGGCAAGGGTCGTTGGTTGCCTGGGCTAGCCGTCGGAATCAGAAATAGGAGTTCACCCATTGAACTTTTTATTACTGCTTTCACCATTTGGAATGAAAACTCTTTATCTCTGTATCTACGTTATCCATCAACTACACAGCACCAGTAATTACATACTGCACCAACTACCAAGTGATGATGGCTTCAAGCACACTAACAATAACAACCATTGCTAGTTTTTACATGCTATCCACTACTTGCTAGTTGTTACCAAGCTCTTGCAGCGCAGAACACTTGCTAGTTGCCACCAGGATCTTGCAGCTCAAACTCGATCAAAGGCATTTCCTCCTCTCTGTAATCTCATAGCTGAATGATCTGGTGCATTCACCGATTCAGTAATCAGGAATAGTTCCATGTCGTTGGCATCCTCGTGGACTGGATAGGGGGCGCGTTTCGCACGTTCACGTCGAGTGGCAGCATCCTGTATTCTATGTCGAGGTCCTTGAGAACTTTGATCATCTCTTGGAGCACCAGCTCCCTCCTTACGAACCTCATCCCCATGTCCTGCCAGTTGAGTGTGTGCCGGAGCCATATGGACACTTTCAGCTTGTTGGTGTCATCCACATCACGGAGGACAATCATTGCACCAGGATACCAATGGTCCTTCTTGTTGTCGATGTAACTGAAATTTAGAAGTGAAAATATTGATTAGCTCGGCGTGGTAAGATACTAACATAAGCAGCAAATGAGCTCATAGATGCCTGACTGATTTTATAATCTGATAGGAAGGCTGTAACTATGATGAAATGTTCTTATGCCCTAATTTAGTGCTAATTCATAGGCCTTAGGTGGGGCAAGAGTGCAGGCACTTCTTTCGGACTCCAGTAGACAGTATTAACAGAATCAAATTCTCATAGTTGCATTTTTACATTCATAGTTAATCATTCATTGTTGATTAGATTTCATGAGGTCGGATTGTATTGCAACAAGATAAGAACACTAATACATACCGTAATAATCTTTCCTTCATAAGGGCTAATTTCTCCACTGGGGTGGCAACATGAACGGAGAAGTCAATTCCTTCTCCCATATCAGGACTCCTGTAGTAATTCATAATCGGTTTTGTGGCAAGTACACTGTTTGGATAATAGATCTTCAGGTTATCATATCGGAGAAACACTGTTGTCATTATATTCATTTCCTCAACAACCACCTGAAATTCAAGTAGTTCAATCTTTAGTAAATGAATGCAAGGTAATATTCATGAATGAAGATTAAAGAACTTTCCCACTACCTGACAATCTTCTATTTCGCAGCGATCACCAACATCATAAGGATGCATCACGAACAAGAACACAATTGCCTCAAAAATTGTCTTCAAAGTATTCCCAAATACAAAAACTGCCACAAGAACTTGTGAACTGAGGAAGACAAAGAAATGTGTTGTTGCTATACCCAGAATAAGTAGCCAGAGGGCAAACACAATTATCCCAACAACAACATTAACCATCTGGTTGAGCTTGTTCACTGCAGTCTTTGTATCATTAAGTGTTAGGGCAAGGGCTTTGCGCTCTCTAAATGCATTCACCTACAGAAGAATACATACAACAATATTAGCAAGGGCATTTTCAGAACTAGCTACGGGAATGTTTGGATTACTGCCATTGTTAGCCTTGCCCATTTTTTGGGGGCAATGGCAAGATTTGGTCATTGCCAAAAAATTTTGGTAAGGTGCATGTTTGGATTGTTGCCAAAATATGTAGGTACTGGTATTTCGTTTGGTGCCAAAGGGATAACAAAATTTTAGTTGCAAACCAAATGAGCACCTTTTTTTTTTGGCAACACCAATATTTTGGTATAGTTGATATTGGCAAAGAACCAAACACACCCTGTGACTCGTTATTATAAATCAATATCGTGAAAGATCATTACCACCCAGTTCTTTAGAGATCTCTTGCTAACCCTGCTGTGCTCCTGTGCTCCTTCGAAAAGATCCATTGTTTTGATGGCTTCTTCCTGCCTCATGAAACGCAGCAAATCTGACAAGTATATATACCTGCAGTATTCATATGTTTGTGATTAGGAATTTGATCAGAAATGTGCAAGTTCAGAATTTTTGCAATCCCTGTTTTCAATAAGCTTTAAACACCTGTAACTTAATACTAAAGATATATAGGATGAAATATTAGCATACTAGCATCTCCAATGAAATAACACTGACTGTCCGCACGACCACCGCACGAACTAACAGTTCCTACATTACAGATAAATTGCAGTTGCTTGTCTGATTATCTATATTGTAAGAACTAGCAATGATGGCACTTGCAGGAGATTAGGGAATCTAACCATACTATACTACTGACAATGAAGACACTTACTTGGAGCCAGGCTTCGCCACATTGTGAAAGATCTTCTTGGCAGCAATCTTGGCTTCATATTCACTACGAATCTGTGTCGCTGACTCATCCCCCTCACCCGTTGCCTGCTGTATCTGCTCATCCATTGTCGTGAGCGTCCCAAACCGAACAATCCTCATCAACCTTTTCATGTTCCAAGCTGAGATATTTTTCTGGTTGAGTTTATGAAGCTTGTCAATGGTGATCCCCTCCTCAATCTGGTGCTCTCCTTTCTCTTTTGACAGCTGCTTGCTCCCTTCTCCCTTAGGAATCACCCCGGACATCCGAATACTCCTTTGCCCTGAAAGATTCTTGGTTGGTACAGTGGAACGGAGCTCAGCTGGGATGGTTGCTCCTGCGCGTTGAAGCTCATGCATCTCAGCAAGGAATTGGTTTTCGTCAACTAGGGGCGGCCCGGAGAGCGTCTCGATGACAAACTGGTTGAACAATGCCTCCTGAATCCGGTCAAAGTATGTGTTGACATGGAAGGAGGATGCCAGCACCTTGAGCAGCAGCGTCTTGACGAGGCGGATGAGCGTGGCGACGAGGAAGCAGAACAGTATCTTCTGCACGTAGGGCAGCACAGGCGAGTTCGTCTCCCGCTGGACGTTCTTGTCGAACATGAAGTGCCAAGAGGAGAGTACCAGGCCGAGCCAGAGCGCGTTCTGCACGGCGCTGCGCACGCCGTACACGAAGTAGAGCACGCGCTTGCGCAGCAAGAAGTTGCGCTCGACGCAGAACACGGCGATCCGGATGACCCAGCCGGAGACAAGGCGGCCGCAGATGAGCACGAACACGAGGAGCTCCCACTTCCAGAGGTGCAGCCCCCAGACCTTCTTCCCGGACAGGGCCTTGATGGTGAGACTGCACGCCAATGCCGCGATGATGAGCACCAAGCTGAGCCACTGAAGGATAGTGATGGCGTCCAGCTTCCCGCGCTTGAATTCGTCGGGGATGTCCTCGTCCATGAATGGGTCCTCCTCCTCCTCTTCCAACGGGCCCGACTTGGCGATTTGCCCGGACTTGCCGGTCATGAGGCCCGAGATGAACTGGCCGGACTTCGTAGGCGTCCGCAAGACAGAGGATCTCCTCTCCTCGTCGCCGACGGGAGGGACCGCGGACGCCGGCTGGGGCTGCGGCGGCGGGTCCATCAGCCGGGATCGCGTTTTGGCTCGCATCAAGTGTCCCGCTGCAGTGGAACTGGACGTGCAGCGAACAACCTCGCCGTCGTCGCCGCCGCGCCTACGGCTACCTCCGGTGTCGGAGTCGGAGTCAGAGGACGAGGCGACACGCCTTTTCGGTTGGAAGGAGACTCGCGCCTCGCGTTCCAGGGAGTTTGAGAAGGATGGCTGCGCATGCAGTTGCGACGGCCTCCCGAGCTCCTCCATGTCGAGGTCCAGCGACAGCTCGGCGCCGGACGCCTTCTGTTTCCGAAGGAAGTTCCCGATGAGACGCGTGGGCGGATCCTCGCCGCCGTCTACCGCACCCGCAGCGTGTGCCGGCTGCGGCGATAGCGAAGGGGACGACGCCTGCGACGACGAAGGCCGCGGCGGCGCCCGGTTCTTGAAGCTGAACGCCTCGCAGGCGCGCCGGCCACCGCCACCGCCACCGCCACCGCCTCTGCCTCCACCCCCATCGCTGCCCCCGTCCCCGCCGCCATCATTCTTCCAAAACTCAACGCTCCCGTCCCGCCTCACCTTGGGCGGGGATCGCGGCGAGTTGGTCCAGCTGGACCACGTCCTGCTCGCCCCCCGCGGCGTGCTCGCCGTGGAGTCGGTGTTCGGGCTCACATTCCCCGCCCCACCGCCATCCTGGCCGGGGAACGCGAACGGCTCGCGGCAAGGCCCCTCCCCGTCGATCCTCACGACCACCTCCCCTTCCTCGCCGCCGTCACGATCGGCCGCCAGTCCGGACCGCTCATCGAACACCCCCGATCCCACCCGCGGCGAGGACTTGCCTGAGCCATGCGACCTCAGGCTACTCTTCCGCCGCACCTGCTCCATCGCCGCCGGCCAAGAAACGCCCACTCCAAAGATAGCTAGTACTAGTAGCCACTCTCCTCCTCCTCCTCCCTCTCCCCCCACTCCTCTCGGCCGGCGTCTCTGCTATACTTAGCCAGAGTTTAACTAGGGGATTAATACTGCCTCTCGTTTCAGTTAACGATGCGATGGAACGTTCCGGAACAACGTGGAGGCGCGCAGCTAGCTGCCAACGCTTGTCCTCCTTTCCGCCACCCCCGCATCGGGGCGCGCACGGAAGCCGCGTCTTCCGTGTACCGGCACAGCCACTCGCGCCGGCGGCAACGAGCGGCGCGGGGTTTGGTGGCCACTCCACGTACGTGGCATGGCATGGCAGGTGTTCGGTACATGATCAGGAACAGGATCAATTAGAATATGTGATTAGTGGTAACCAAACGATTGTGGTCCGTGTAATTCTGTATGTGTTCGAATCTTCTGTGGGCGAGACTAGCGGCGGGGATTCGGGAGTGCGTGTCGCAATTAGCATTTTGTAAAGAAATAAAAATGATTGTAAGTGGAATTAGCATTCGGTAACTAAGATTTAGAAACTGTGATTAACGAGGAAGATTATATAATCAGGGCACTAAAAAGGCTGTGTGGTGAGAACGTGAACTGCTGTGGCTAGTGGCCATTTTTGTATTGGGTAACGGCGACGGGAAAAGTTTAGCATCTTGGTGATGGATCTCAGGGTTGTGGTGATTTGTGGGTGGCAGTGGCACTGTGGTGCTGACTGATCTCAAGGTCTTGGTAATTGTGGAACTCACGGTCGTGATTGTGGGATTGCTGTGATGGATCTCACGGTCTTGGTGAATGTGGATCACACGGTCGTGGCGGTTGTGTTTGTGCCGGCCATGTTTCAGAGAAAAGTTTCGCTCCATAGACGCAAAAAAACGATCCATATACACGAGCAACATGTGATCTCTGCTTTCAGTTCCGTCTCTTGCCTAAACACTCCATTGGCATGTCCGTTTCTTGGTTACTGTCATATAATCTCGTGATTTAGATAGATGGTCATCATTTCGTCATAAAGACATGCACTGGCATGGGAGCACGGCCAAGATTTGGAATGGACTGTGCAAACAGCTATCTTTGTTCTGTTTGGCAGGCATGTAGGAAACGAACAAAAAAACGTTTAGTCGGTCCAAATCAGGGTGCAGCGATTAGCACCATATCTGATCAGGCCACCAGCTAAGTAACATGTTAGGGTGGGCCTCAAAAGCAAACAGAAGCAAGACAGCAAGTACAGAACATATGGCATGCGAATGGGATTCTATATATCTGGAGGCGACGCGACGTGGAGCAACACAACAAATGAAACTCGTGTGTCCTATGTTAGCTTCGGTTCCGTTTGCATCCCGTTCGTGGGAAACCAGGTATGATGGATTCGTTGTACAATATTGGACAGATCACCAATTCACCATCGCTTTCGTCAACCGAGCATCATGTGTGTGTGCTCCCTTTCTACTCCCTAGTAGCTTGACTTGAGACCTAAAAAAAGCACAGTTCCTACCTCGCATATGTTCCTAGATATGCTCACCACATCAATACCGGTAAAGAAGAACGATACGTGTACGTGCGAAATCTCGCGACAGACAGATAAGTGCGGTCATACGCAAGAGAGACGACCTGCAGGCAACGAAAAGCTGCTGCAATTTTTTTTTTCGTCTGTATATTTACTGTTCAGTAAACGCGCACGGCCTGAGCTGGCTCGTAGCAGGTCAATCCAACGACCGCGACGAGGCCCTGAGATTTCAGTTCACACCACGGTGCCAGCTACTTTACGCCTCGGCCGGCTATGCAGCCTCCCTCCGGCAACTGCAAGGATGTACAGTACGTGCGCTGCTAGATTGCGCCTTCGTCTCGTTTCATACCGGCCGGTGACGCGGCAGCGCGAGCGGCCATGGCGCTCTGCATGCGCAAGGGGAGGACGGTACAGTTGTATGGGCCAAACCAGAGTACCAGACACGCGCCGGCTGTCGCGTGGCGTGTTTCCGCGGAAATCGTAGTAGTAGGTGTGCGTGTTCGGCTGTTCGGTTTTGGCGGCTTGCCGTCGACAGTGATGTGCCCATGCACTGCGCGACGCGCCTGGTGTTTTCAGATGTATTTTCTGTCCTCCGTTTTTTTGGCCTCTCGTGGCGTCGTCTATCACGTAAACTAGGCTCGCGCGTTACGTCGTGAGTTGTTACTTGTTAGCTTCGCGTTTGTAGAGTTCAACGAGAGGACAACACGAACTTGCAAGCAGTTAAGGCAGACCAAAAAGAAGGATAGGCATGCGGGCAGTCGGGCACGCACACCAGTCGGGAGTATTTATCAAGTATCATGGCAAATGAAAAGGAGGTATATGCTTCGTCAGAGCCAGGTGAGCCCGGTCAGGTAGAAAGGAGATTAGCACTTTAACTACTGTGATAGGATTGGACGAATGTAAAAGAATAATTAAAGGGATACCCTCTCCGTTGTAGGTTACAACACGCTTTGACTTTGATTAAAATCAAACTACTTTAAATTCGACTAAATTTATAAATAAGTAGTTTCATTAAATCGATAATTAAATATATTTTTATAATAAATTTATCTTAGGTTGAAAATATTTTTTTTACAAGTTTAGTCAAGCTTGAATCAGTTTGACTTTAACTAAAGTTAAAACATCTTATAACCTGAAATAGAGGTAGTAATTATTTACATGATGAAAAATTTAAAAGTAATCCATAGTTACAGTTTAGAGTGTTGTTTCGGTCCTTCTTTTTGTACCACGTGGTACTAGTACCATGAGATACTAAAATCCTGACCGTTGTTGGTCATTGGTGTGGTTAGCGCGAGAGAGCCACGGTGGAAGGGTATAATCGTAAATGGAGGGATTTTTGGATCGGTGCAAGGTTTGGCTGAGTTGGGGAAGCGCGGCAGAGTAGCAGAACCCTAGGTGGCGGCGGTGGTATCCCGTTCGCGGCGGCGGCGGCGGCGGCGGCGCATCCTTGGTTCTCTGGGAAGAGCTGCAGAAGGCAAACCATCGGTTTGCCATTCTCCCCTTCGCGGCGGCGCCTCATCCATTCCTCTCGACACCGCCTTTTTCCCCTTGTCCAAATCGTCGCGGGACTTCGATGTATGCGTGCGTGTTCGGCCATGGATGAGTGAAGCTTACAATTTCAGGAAAGTACAAGAAGATGTTTGAGATGGATATGAAGTACAAGCACACAATTTGTTCTAGACGTTTGATAAATTTGTCATGCTCTTGTCCGTTCCTGTAGTATTGGAGGCATTTTATAATGGAGTCATTGGACTGTAATCAATCTTGATGTGTTTTCCTGTAATATTACGTTTTCAAGCTGTGTTTTGGTATTGGTTACTTCTGGAATTGAAGAGATGAGTTTAATGACATGGTTGCAGCTAGTTTTATATTTCTGTATGTTTTATGGTACATGCAATGCTTGGTGATTTCTGGAATTGAAGATATGATGGATGTATTGCAATTTGGAGTTGTACTGACATGGCTGAAGCTAACTATTTTATCTGTATGTGAACATGGTATATGTGAATCTGAAAATGATGTACTTCACTCATGCATGAGACTGACAGCCACATTCATAATTTTGATGTCATTTCAGATGTGAGAAATCCGAAAAGCATTGTTAAAATTGATATGTTAAATTGCAGGTAGCAAAGTACAGCTCAGACATAATATAGTCAACAGTGATACATATACTCTGAAATCTTGTACATAAGAATTACAATAACAACTAGGGAACCCATGAACCAACTTCTAGCGTGGTCTGCCTCTTTTTTGAGCTTTGAAATTTTTTTCTTATATGTTGCTTCGGTAGCCAAAATCCTGGCAGCCATCTCAAATTCAAGTTTCATTTTGTCTTCCTCAACTTTCGCTCTATCAATATAGTTAGACCATTCATATTGCCGCCTGGTTGGATTTGTCATGCTAGTACGATCCAATGCAAGCCAAAGCTTCTCGAATGCCTTCTGCACTCTTGGATGCCATCTTGGTCTACCCAGATTAAAGTATCGCATTGGTCAACCTCCTGTAACATTGGTTATTTCATAGTATTATTATGCAAATTTTCTTGCAGCGAAACAATGGTGAACATACTCAAATCCGGTCAAACAAAAAACGAACAGCAGAATAAAATCAAACAAAAGCTTACTGGCCACTGCGGCGGATGGCGCAGAGGATGGCGCCGGCCTTGCAGCTGCTGCGCCGGCCACGGCGGCGGCGAACCTTGAAGCGTATGGCACCGGCCCTTGCAGCTGCACCGCCGGCCACTGCGGCGGCGGACCTTGCAGCGGCGGCGGCGACGACTCCTGCGGCCGCGGCGCTGCCAGGATGTCACCACCCGTACGGCGACGGTTACAGAAGCGCTCGCCCTCCTCCTCAGATGAACACCCGTGCGGCGGCGCTAGCGTGAGATGCGATGGGCGACGGTATCGTGAGATGCGATGGGGATGACCTAAACGAAGCCGCACGTAGCTAGAAACGTTGGGACCCCACACCGGAGCGAACCTCGCGCATACTCCCATCCCCATCGTACCCCTCAGCAATCAACGGCCGGATGAAGACTGGTACCTCATGGTACTGGTACCGTGCGGTACAAAACGATGGACGAGAGAAAATCTATACAGTTTAAGGGCATGTTCACTTTGATGTCATTTTCAACCATACCATTATTTGTCAAAGTTGCAAAAAAAATATATACGTTTAGTTTGTTGCCAAATTTGACCAATACATAAGAAATCCTGCCAAAATTTTGGCAATATTGCCGTCTTGCTATAATTTTGGTATTGCCAAAACTTGTAAGGTTCATTTTGGCTACAATCTGAATATGCCATAAATCAGAAAGCTAAAATTGTCAAATATTAAGAAAGATATTGCCGCTAGCCTGCTACACTCCTTCCTATCCATACATTATCGTACTTATACCAATTTGTTCCTTAAGAGAATAGAGAATTGAAGTAGGAACAACTTGAGATTGGATGCCAAAAAAGCTTACGCTGGAGGATCTATTTGACTAGAGGCGGAAAACCCTAATGCACCGGCGCATGCAACCAACCACATTGGATTTTTTACAATTTGGTCCTTTTCAAAAACTAATTTTACAAATAAACTCCTAGAAAAACTTATCCCATAAATGATCCTTTTTGGGACGTCAGAGTTGCTGGTGCCATGGTTCAATAGGACAGCGCGACGCCAAAAGGGTCCTCGCCAAGGCGGTGCAAGATGGGCAGCGTGAACGCAGTGTCTTCTCGCTCCCCGTCTCCGCGATCCCCAACACGTCCCTCCCCTCAAGCACCCGCGGGATGCACTGCCGCTGCACGACCATGGGGCTATGCATCCCCTAGTAAATCGCACACATCCACTAGCCATTGCGATAGCCCAAGTTCGACGAAGGTGGACAGCACCATAGCGGATTCCGCGGCGGCGGTGGTGGCCACGACAGTAGGGCCTAGTTGGAGTCACAATGTTCGGGCTCCATGACGCGGAGCTAGGGTTTAGGGGTTCTAGCTGGGGCTCAGCTTCTTGCTTGGGTTTCTTCTTGCTGGACTTGGGCTTGGAGAAGAGGAGGAAGGGGCGGGCTACGCCGTCGACCTCCATGGATTGCAGGCTTCGTGGTGATGGAGGCGGAAGAGGGTTTCTGGAAGGGAGGAAGCAAAGCACGCAGGGTAAGACGGGGACGCACGCACGCGAATTTGGGAAAAGCACTAAGAAATGGTAGCCTCCCTGCCCACCTAGAAGAGGCAGCTAGCGGCGGTGAAGGCGGAGTTGCCGCCGGATGCGCTGGGTGCGCTCCACGTCGAAGTCCTCGACAACATCATCGACCGCCTTCACATCTACGAGGTGGTTCGCACCTCGGTGCTCTCATGTGCATGGTGGGGCTGCTGGGAGTCGCTGCCCTTCGTCGACCTAACCTGGAGCCCCGACGTCGCGGCATCCGACGTCGACGTGATCCTCCTCCGACGCTCTGCCACCGATGGCCGTTACGCGCCATTCCTTTCCCGCCAGCCGCAGCGTTCATCGGCGGGTTCGACTCACTCGGGCAAGCCGAGGGCCTCACGCACCGGTCGAATGTCGTAGACTCACCATCACCGATGAAGAGAGGGGAGAGGAGGAAAGAGGGAGCCCCCGTGGGCCCCACCATTTTTATTTTTTTTTGGGTGTAACTAACTATCATGGTTAAAAATAAAGTATTCCTCAAATCCTACGACTTATCGAATATGCGGATACGGCATACCTTTGTATATATGATGTATTTCCGTATACAATAAGGAAATTCACAAGCTGTTATGGAAATTATCCTCACAAGAAGAGGAATGTTAGAGTCCTACTCAAAGAGGATTGGGTTGATACTATATAGTGTAGGGTCTGTTGTCTTCGAGTTCTACTTTGAGACTAAGATGACTCAGGGTATAAAAGGCACACCACTTAGAGGGGTTCAGATCATTGAATCATAGTGCCAAACACAATCGCCATAGCCTACAATCCGGAGGACGTGAAGCCTACTTGCCGGGAGATCTCATCGAAACCATCTCGACAAGGGATCTCGCCGGTAATATCAGGATCGTCGGTTCTTTATTGTAATATGTGGTATTTCCATATCTATCTCATATAAACTAGATTAAGGCTTCTACCTTACGAAGGCCCGAATTAGTATAATCCTTGTTTTCTTGTTTGCTTGATGTCATATCGTATAAATCCTTGTACCAACGTACCCCAATACTCTATTCATCTGGTCTACGAGTATCCCCATCGACACTAACATGTAGGGTCACGATTATATTATTTGCCAAACCAAACTGCCACGTAAGCGCCATGTCAATGCCACGTCAGATGAAGACCGAGTCAAATTAGCCACATAGACATCACGTCAGCTGAAACCGCCGTCCAAACCATCATTGGAACTTATTTTGCACTAGTTTTGATAGTTGAGGGACCCGTTACGTATTGTTTTCCGATTGAAGGATCAAAATCGGATTCTTGATAAGTTAAGGGCCCTCAGATGAACTTATTCGCCCGCAATAATCTTAACAGGCTATACCGTGTGATGAGATGGGCCGTGGAAGGTCTATTGTGGCTTAAGCTCAAAATAGTGTAATTGGTTCGACCATTCCTGACATCTCCATTGCGGCCGAGGTGCTGAGCAGGCCTTCAATGCAGTGGGTCTCTCCGCTCATACGGGACCAGCTCAAAGCTTCAGTCTCGCGGTCTCGCCAGTAGTAGCTAGCCAGCCACGAGCCAGAGTGAGCCAGCCGCCCCCACATTACTCCGCGGTCGCCCAACGGCCGCCACCCTCGCGGCGCACACAGCTCCAAACTTTGGAAACGAAAACCCCTCGCGTTCCACTTAAAAACCTCGCCACAATCCGTTGCGCTTACTATCAACGAAGAGGCTCCCAGACCTGTTGCGCTTTGCGCCTCGCCACAATCCACCACTGTGCCCTCTATCGCTCACGCGGTCACGCCCATCGCGCCGCGCGGCTCCCGAGATGGCACGGCACGCGAAGACGGACTCCGACGTGACGAGCCTGGCGCCGTCCTCGCCGCCGCGGTCGCCGCGCCGGTCGGCCTACTACGTGCTCAGCCCCGCCGCCTCCCACCCGGACGTCGTGGTGGCCTCGGGCGGCGCAGGCGGCGGCGGCGGAGGCGTGGCCGCGGCCGAGAAGATGTCGTTCGCGGGTTCTACCCCGGCCGAGTCGCCGCTGCACTACCACTACCACCACTCCGGCGCCGCCGTGCACCACTCCCGGGAGTCTTCCACCGGCCGCCTCCTCTTCTCCGACCAGCTCCGCTCCGGCGCCGCTGCCGGCGTCCCCTGGCGACGCCTTGCGCAGGGCAGCGGCGCCGGCAGCGTCGGGGACGACGACGACGACGAAGGAGGACTCGCCGGGGCCGCCTCGCAGTGGAGGTGCTACGCCCTCGGGGCGTTCGCCTTCGTGGCCGTGTTCGCCTTCTTCCTGCTCGTGCTCTGGGGCGCCAGCAAGTCATACAAGCCCCACGTCGTCGTCAAGGTGCGTCTCTCACCTCTTGGCTTCCTCGTTCACTCTCGTTTTCCCAAGAAATCAACACTGGCCATTTTAGCCGTCCTGCGAGTAGAGATGGTAGTGTAGAGTGTACATTTCCGTTTATTTCCTTCACCTTCTCAAACGAACAACTAAGTAGAAAATTTAGAAATGTACTATAACCCCTGTCAATCTGCCCAAATGTTTTCGATTGAATGCAACTATATGCAAGTTTTGAGATATCGGTACTGGCACCGATTGCCCCCGTCTTCCTTCCAAGAGAAGAGAAACACAAGCTGTGTACATCCAATCTGAATGCATGCATTTACTAGAGGCAGCGTCCGTTCCGACGATCGTACACGCATTTTGCCAATGAACAGCTGTAGGAGTACTCCTACCTAGTAAAAGCATCCGCGAAACATGCACACAGGAATACTAGGAGAACGAGTACTACTTAAAACAATATAGGAGCAGGAGTTTTTGCTTCCTGGACATCATGCGGAATTGCGGATATTGCGATCAATTTGCTAGCCGTTTCTGTGCTGGTGCCATTCTAGTGAATCAATTGAAATTTGAAAGGAGTATAAAATGTAGTAGTGCTACTCCATTATTGACTTGCTGTACGATTTGCTGTTCCTCTCCATGTGTGTGTAGAGTGTGGTGTTCGAGACGTACCACATCCAGGGCGGCACGGACCGGACGGGCGTCCCGACCAAGATGATGTCCGTCAACGCGACGGTCAGGCTGCGCTTCCGCAACCGGGGCACCTTCTTCAGCCTGCACGTCACCTCCACGCCGTTCCACCTCTTCTACGACGACCTCACCGTCGCCACCGGCCACGTACGTGCCCTTTCCACCACCCCAACCCTCGCCTTTCTGCTCGTACTTCTACCTGAATTTGCCTATGCCATCCTCGTTACGTTTGGTGAATCTGAATGGATTGGGTAGGTGATGCGGACGTTTCCGTGCCTGATTAGGCTGGCGTAAATCGATGGTAGTTATTGCTAGTTACTGCGTAACAACTCACAAACAAACGGGTGAATCAAGAGTTGGATCTGGGCTCTGTACAATGGATCAGTAGGGTTGTCCCGATTATTCGTACTGTGCTCTTCATTACTAACATGAGTTCTATCACGACTATAGTGGAGTACTAATCTCCTATGCCATTCCGACCGTGATGCCAGCAGTCCGTGGAATTTTTGCCGGTTTAGATCAGCTTTTGAGCATCCCCATGAACATCATAGTGTGGTGGAGTATACTAACCTACTGCCTAGGTGCGGGAGAAAGCTAAACCTAACAGCACGGTTCCCTTCTTATTTGTCTCTGTCCTTGATTAGTTTTTTCGGCAGCTCTTCACTCGGAAGACAGAACAAAGTTGCGTTTTAAAAAACCGGCTCCTCCATTGTCATCCTCGAACCGGGGATAGCTTGCAGCCTTGCATTGCCATTTGCTTCCTCGACGGAGTGGATCATCTCAGATGAGACTTCGCAGCCATGCATTGGGGCTATTCTGAGGCGCTGTTGGACTTAAGCATGATAGTGCATTGTTTTGAGAATTTGAGTGTGCAGCAGCTTGCATTCGGCCATTCAGGCAGGACTTGGATTTAGCGTTTTACACACAGAACCTCTTAGCGTTTACACACACACAGACGGTGAGCTCGTGAGTCGTTCCGCAGTAACAAAAATATCATCTGTCAAGTTACCCGCTCGGCTAACTGCAGCGATTTTCTTTCACTAGAATACTGGTGAGTCTGGTAGTACTGTGCAAAGTGGGGGCGAAGTGCATGTGATCAAGTAACAAATACTCCTACTACTACTAGTACTACACAGAACCAGCAAAAAGGGGACCTGGAATGGAAACGCAATAACACCCAGAGGCAAGCAGTGGCGTCATTGGCTATCGGTGGGCATGGTGTTCACGTGACTCGAGTCAGGGATGCCATCGCTTGCCATTTGCCGATATGAGCAGATTTTTTGTTCTTGTCACGGCACAAAGACCAGCCGGTAACTGATGTAAGGACTGACCGGTTGAGAACGACTACTCTTCAGCCTCCCTCTGCTATAGTTTTTTTAGAGGAAAAAGACAACACTTCCCTGATGACTGTCTTGCCGCTGCTGCATGCGCTACCACTGGATACTCCGTTGCATAGTACAGGCAAAGAGCCAATGTGATATGTCAGGCCTTTGTTCCATCTTCAACGTCAACACTCAAAAGGATTGCCTTTTGGCAAGTACTATAAGCACCTTTATATAAGCCCTTTTATGTTGCCCCTAAATTTACCACGTAGATTAGGTGATGAGTCGGAGGAGAGGAGTTAGGAGAGAGAGAATGAGCCACCCCTCATGCAAGGGGCAATCTCCACACAATCTCCAAGAAAAATATAAGATGATGTGTGAGAGTAAACTAATATTGGGGTTTGTGTACTAGAGGTGACATGTTGTAATTGTTATCTCTTAATTAATGAAAAGATGACATGGTTTAAATTAGACGTGGCACTCACCTCCACCATAAAACTTGCCCTTAGGGCATGCCCAACCCTCCACCTTGGAGGGTATCCCTAGCTCGCCCCACTTTTTCGCCCGGGACCATCGCCCTGCAAAGAATCGCGGACCTCTGCAGAGCGCCGCGCACCTCTGCTCGCCCCGGCTCGAGAACAGCGAAGCACGCTTGGAGCGGCACGTTGGCGAGGTCGTCTCCCCGTGACGGATCCACGATGGAAGATGCCGCCGCCGGGAAGCTCCGCCGGCCACCGACGCATCGATCTGCTCCGCTACTGTGGAAGAAGATGGCGAAGGGGTGGACTCGAGAGAAAGGCGTACCCGGGAAGCTCCGTCTCTGCCGCGTCGCTCCCTGCCGCTGACGCGTCGATCCGCGGCCGTCGCGTCGATCCACGTCGCCGCTGCTTCGATCCGCCGCTGCCGCCTCGATCCCCACCTCCTGCGCCTCCATCTGCCGCCACCGCGTCGATCTGTGGCCGCAGCCGCTTCGATCCGCGCCCGCTGCCACGATCCCCACCTCCAGCGGCTGCTCGATCTGCTGCCGCCGGGAAGCTCCGCCGCCACCGCTGCTCGAGGCGCCGAGGAGAGAGAGGGGAGGTCGTGCTGGGGAGGGCGCCGCCGGAGAAGGGGAAATCGCGCCACCAGGAGGACGGGAATCGAGCCAAGGAGGGGAGCCTAGTGATTTTTAGGGGGTATACTGCTAATATTGGATGTATATGTAAATAAAAATAATCCAAGGGTTTAAATGTAAAATATGACCGACTGACAGGTGCTGCAGTGTAAAAATGAGATGTGGGTAAGGGTGCGCCCTGCATTGGGCATGCCCTTACTGCTTTTCTATGTTTCAGACATCACACCTTTAGCTTACGTTACTTTACCGTAGTTACAGTACTTTTGCCGTACGCTTTGTTTACTCTGTGCTGCGGCGAGGGAATCCTTTTGCTGTACAAGATGATGGCCCCCAGTGCGCAGCAACCCAGCCCTATCATGGTTCATAGACTCATTGACTTGCTGTGCATGTTCCGGTCTGTATTTTTGTTCCTTGTTTTCTACCGGACGGTAAATAGTGCAAGTGCAATTTTTCTCATTCCGACAGAAAAGTTTCCCGTGCAATAATATACTGGAAGTACAATTTATTCGGAGGATGCACAACCAAACCGCACTACAGTACACTGCACTGAACGATCGTGTTGCGTGTGTGCTCACTCATGCGTGCAGATGGCGGAGTTCTATCAGCCGCGGCGGAGCGGGCGCGTGGTGACGGTGTCCGTGGTGGGGAAGCAGGTGCCGCTCTACGGCGCCGGCGCGGAGCTGCACAGCAAGCCCAACAACGGCCGCCTCGGCCCCGCGGTGGTGCCCGTCAGGATGGCCTTCGTGCTGCGGGCGCGCGCCCACATCCTCGGCCTCCTCGTCCGCTCCAAGTTCTACCGCCGCGTCCTCTGCCGCCTCGACGTCCGCGAGGCAAGCCTCGGCAAGCCCGTCCACGGCGTCGCCGCCGACTGCGAGTACCACGACGGGAGGTGACCACGGGCCCTTGCATTCAGACGCTGCGTCGATACCGTGGGCGTGGATTGTTAATTGGAAGCTCTGAAACTAGACTTCTGGGGGTGGTAGTAGTATTGGTAACACGAGGTAAAATCCAATCCGTTGTAATGGAACAAGTGTTGATGCTAACAGTAATCCTGCTAATTCTAGAAAATTTTACTTGCTGTTGAAATCTGTACTACCATTGGCATTAACTCATGTCTGAAGCTCCGGCCGAAATATGTAGGCCATCATTCCAGCAATATACACTACTAGGTGATATTACAACAAGCTGGGCTGGCTTCTATGACATAGCAGTTGTCAATTTACTATCTGAAGAAGAATCCTTCCCTTCCCTGATGGAGATTTGCAGAGGAATAGGGGAATAGTCATTCGCCCATCAGGATAGTAGACAATGGGATGGTTTCACGTTGGCCAAATTTACAATGTACAGTATGTAAATTTACAATGGTTTCAGGTTGGCCAAATTTACAATCTACTAGCATACTCATCATGCTTGCTCATGCTGCACAATGGCCAACATCTCACTTGCACCAGATTGCCCTGCTCGCATCCTCATGCTGATAATGAAGGCAATGAGCTGCAGAGTAGATATACTCTATTCTTAGTATGGCATAAAAAGTGTGCACTGAACATATTCAGTTGAAATCTTACCGTACAAAAGCCAGCACACATGATACTGAAACCTTTGAATTTGAATGGCGCTGTTTCTGAAAGGACCCATGCTGCCGCAAGAAAGCAAAAGCTATGGAGTAAATTAAAGGAAACAAGGGTTATAAACTAGGATTTATTTACAAATGAAAAAAATACCTGTTAGAGGGGTAAAAATTAGTGGAGCTAATATGCTGGCAAACGAGCTTATGCCCGATATACAGCCTTGAGCAATTCCCTAAGAGGCAACACCAAAGTAATAGGAATAATGAGCGAAACTTAGCAGTCATGTCAACTAATACAACACAGGTCATCATTTGAAATACTCAAAGACAATGATCAGCAACAATAGGAAAAACCAACCTGCTCATTTGATCCAACACTCTTCGATACATTGGTTCTTATCTAGAAAAACAGAGAAGAAGATGATTAATATTGTTCTGAATTGCTTGGAAGGAAAAAAGTTTTTAATAAACTGTTGGGAAAAATATGGCTTACAGAAGGGTGAACAAAAGCACTCAGAATTATAAACACCGCAGATAAATATGGTACCTGTAGATGATTAAGACAACGTTAGCGAAGATATGTGTAATGGATGACTGATATTGGTTTAGTGAATGCTGGAAACGCACTATTGCACTGCTGAACCAGCAAGCAACTAAACCTGATTGCAAATTAGTGCAAAACAAGAGCGTAGTTCTGTCTATACATTTGGATATAGCCAAAATTGCATTCTTTTGGGTAAGAGTCTAATAAGACTACAAGAGAATTATTGCCAAGTCCAAAGGAAGTACCCAATATGACCATGCAATGCCATACAGGAAAACCTGAAATATAATACAAAATTGTTCAGGGATTACAATCACACTCGCTGACATTATTGCATAACGGTTCAAAAATGCAAGGGAAAGAAGCTGTTACATGAGTACATCCTCCTAGGAGTCCTATAATAAGCAGTATATCCTCGCCAACAAATCGAGCCAAGACCGGCATTACAGTCAGCTGAACAGCATGTTATCATTAGTCAGAAATCAGAAAATGTAAAAAAAGCAATTCCTACTCCGGGCTGGAAAGCCTACCATATAACAGTTCTGCTGAAAAAAAAAATACAATCGTACCTGTGACAGCATTCCTGCAGCACCAGCAATTAACAGAAGATTAGCGAACTCATCTTTGCTGTAACCAAACTGTGCCTTCAGGTAGTACTGCAGACACATCAACCGTAAAAGAAAATTCGTGTTAAATTTAACTGACATTGAAACTGAATACTTGTCAGATTAGGTGGGGGATAGACACCAGTAATGCAGTCTGAAGCCCATGTTCCCCAAGACTGTAAAAGAAGGTAACAATTGCTGCCCCTGACAGGGTCAAACTACAGGCAGCAGCAATGACTCATCAGCACATTACAGTTTATAGTCAAAATTCCATCAAACATAGGTGTCAATAAACTCTAACAAAAGAATATGAGTATCGGCACGAATTGCAGTTAGGCAAGAAAGAACTTAACCTGCCAGTGAGAAGCGAAACCATGTCTGACAACGACGGCACCCCGCCCTTGTGCGGCGGAAGTCTCGGTGAGATCTCCTCATCGGAGGAGGACGAAGACGAAGTCGCGGCGGAGCAGGATGAGCCTTGTAGGAAGGGATCACATGCTTCGTCAACGAAGGAGTTGGCTCCGCCGGAATCTGGGACAACGGCCCTGAGATAGATGGCCGTCGCCGCGGCGACGGCCGCCGCCACCTGGAAGGTGGTTGATGTCTGGAGGAACCGCGCGGTGAGTGTTCCGGAGACGAACCCCGCTGCCGACACGCCGGAGAGGAGCCCGAACGCCGCCGCTCGCCGCCTGGCGCCGACTTGGTCGGCCTGCGTCCACAAACTTCACCTGGTCAAGGACTCCCTGATTGGGCGGTGGGCCGCCCACTTCTGTTACGCTGACGAGTGGGCCTAATCGCCGTATTTTCCGTTTGTTCAGTTGTACTGTATTGGTAGTTTGTCCTTTACTCCTTTTTGTGTGGTAGTATACATTCTTTCTGTTGTCGTAATTGTACAGGTCACATGTTCTCGTTAAATATACGTATTCGTTATTCAGGATGCGTATCTCAATAACTTTGAAATATGTATTTGGATGATCGATCTATCATAGTGAGGTTTTCATTACCACGTAGGCGAGCAAGAGGCAATGCATGCTGCCCTCGCAGAAGATGCCGGCGAGGACCTTAACGACGTAGTACACGTAGAAGTACACCTTGGAGCGGTTGCAGGCCAGTATAACTGCCAGAAAAAAAAGTGGAAAACATATGAAAATGTGCACAGATGCATTATGCAGTTTCATCAAGCTAGGGTGACCCAAGTCATGCTGCAAAGAGCATACACAACGGCAGAATGGCCACGGTCACCGGCAGTGTCATCAGCGCCTTCCTGCCGTATTTGTCCGACAAATTCCCCACGATGGGAGTCACCACAAGAGCCCCCATCCCTGTGATCTGCGCAAATTAGCCAAAAGCCGTTCCATTTTCACAAATCCCACCCGCAAAATGTGACTTAAATAATCCGAAACGCGCGATACTCACGGCGCTCTGGAAGCCGCTGAGGTAGATGGCGACGGAGCACTCGTCGCGGCCGGGGCAGACGGCGTCCATCGTCACGTCGGTGATCGCCGGGATGACCATGTAGGAGGCGAAGTGGAACATGAACGCCGCCACGAACAAGTGCCCCAGCACAGCCAAGTCCTTCATCCTGGCGTCTCTACCAAATCGACAGCTTAAGAGAAACACGGTTAATTTGCATGCCAAAACTCCGGGTCTACGTTTTATACTCGCATGCACGGCACGCAAGGACAAGAAAAATATACATATCGCCAATGCAACGCTTCCAAGTAAGAGAAGCAGAAAAACCGAAGCATCGATCAGTCGCTCTTGCTTAGGGTGATCACCCACTTGATCTCGTCACTAAAAGTGACCCTGCATTTTTGCCAGGTTTGCACAGTTATATTGCGCCTTGTGAACATACTTTTACGTGCCCAATTCCCCAAACAAGCCAAGCAAAACTGTAACCGTCCCGATGTTTGTTGCAGCTGGGAGCCTGAGAGAGTGATCTGAGGACGAGAACCTGTGATTACTGGAGCTAGCTAAGTTGTCGCTGCCGATGGTGATTGGTTAGTGTGGTGCCGGTGGCTTGTACGCATGGCGCTGCAACAGAGCACTAGAGCTAACATGCGAGTGATGGATGATGTACTGATGTGTTTTTTAGAGTGCACTCCACTCTACTTTCGGAGCTACTGCTCGCTGATTGGGTCTTTTGTAGCTTGCAGCCCTGGAACTCTGTTTACTCGTGGAATACGGACACCGTTGGTCTTGCTTCTGGGAAAAGCTGGGATAATCTTGCTTGGCTCTTTCTGCATTTGGTGCTGGAAGTTTGCTTCTTCAGTGGGGGAAATAGCTTAGCGCACTCTTGATTACTAGGGAGATTAGATCTATGTTTGGTAGTAGCTGAGCCTCAACGACAGTTGAAGTCTCAACCCTGAACCGAACAGAACTACTGAAGTGCAGGGGAGTATCAGAGAAGGATCGGCATTTTTTTGATGTACTAGTACTAGAAATATCGGAAGAACTGTATCCTTCAAGACTGTTGCTCCTATATATTTTACTATGGTCCATATACTAATTTACATTTCTAAGTTCTATCCTCATTTTTCACGTATATGTTTTTCAAATTATAAAATTTTTCTATAGAAAAGTTACTTTTAAAATAATATTAATCGGTTTTCAAGTTTTTAAACTAATACGCAAGTAATTATGCGTTAATTCATCATCACCCTGTTTTCTGTGCCCAAGGGAAAATTCCCAACCCCTACTCCCGAACACACCCTAGATTGGTGATAAATTGGTTGTCGTCAATGCCAATAATTTTATCTACAAAGTGAAATATCGTATTTACTATTCAGAGGGGCACTTTTTTTTTTCATCAATCCAAAACAGCCCTACATTCCAAACTCAATAAAACGCAACTGGAACGGATGATGGGCTTGGTGACCCACTGAAAATTGCAGAGTCCGTCCAATTGACGATAGGGGATGTCGTGGGCTGTGGCCTGCCTGTGATTCTTCCAAACTTAACTCGGAAGCCAATATGCGGGCGTAAATTTCACTCCGTATTCCGCCTCGACCCACCTACGAACGTCAGCCTAAGTTTATTTTTGGCCCCTCATTTATGTCGCTGAGACTGAAATTCGTCCTCAAATCGCAGTACAACGTGCCTCTCAACTCCCCAAACCAGTGGCCCCGAGATGGTACGGATGGTTGTTTCTACTGCCGTGGCGTGGCGTTGATATGGCACTTAAAGTATATAAAAAAACCCGTGAGACTGATACCAATGAATGTTCGGTTAAAAAAAAAATGGTACGTCCTATTGCGGTTTAAGGATGAATTTTAGACTGACAATAAATTGTGGGGCAATAGATGAGCCCCATGGGCAGGCTTGTCGAGGTCAGCTTCAAACTGTGTTGGAATATCGACCATAAGCTGGAATAACGTCAGTTCACGTACCGTACATCTGTATGAGCAGACGTTTGTCTACTCCGGAACATACATGCGAGCAGCAGACGCCGTCCTTTTCATTCCTGATCAGTTTGTTTGTTTGTTTTTTTTTAAAAAAAAGAACTTGTTCATTGTTGATCAATTTGTTCGATCAGCTGTTCGAAGACAGGCCGCCTCGTCTACAAGAGGAATATCAAACCCCTGCAAACAATTAATTCCTTCTCCCCACGCATAAATAGCAGTGAGAGGCGAACGAGAATATTCGTCAAATAAGAAAATGGACGCGTTATCCAGCTCATACATCCAGCCGCCCGGCCTATGCCGTGCCTTCTCCCTCTCCCTGATGCCCTGATCGATCGATGGGCGGCCACTGCCGAAGCCATCGGGCTGGCGTCCACGGAAACAGCAGTGATCGCGCCCACGAGCCCCATGTGAGCCTGTGCGACGCGCGCGCATGTACGCCCGGTTCTTTCATAGCCTTTCGGCTCTGTCTCACGGTTATTTCAACAAGCTTTCGGCCTTCACTCACATCCTGCAGCTGCTACTGATTTACTGAAGTGATCGGTGACGATGGAATGCTCATGCATGCTACATTGCTAACGACGCTTCGATCGAGTTAATTCTTTATGTTTGCACGTACGTATACGCTTGGACGAAGTTTGTTATGTTCACCGCCTCACCGGTTCACGTGGTTGATCGGTTCGTGATTACGTACAGACCGAAAGGAGGGAGAGGAGTCACGTTAATTTTTTTAGGGTAAAGAGAGAGCTTTATTAATGCTTAAATAAAGGGTTACACTTCTAATTTAATAAATCTAGAATTCTTGCGAAAGCACACAACCTCCACTCCGCGCAGGACCTAGAACACATTGCCATTTATGCTAAAACATGTGCTACCCTATTTGCTTATCTCTTTATCGATTTAATAAATCTAGAATTCTTGCGGGAGCACACAACCTCCACTCCGCGCAGGACCTAGAACACATTACCATTTGTGCTAAAACATGTGCTACCCTATTTGCTTCTCTCTTTATCGATTTAATAAATCTAGAATTCTTGCGGGAGCACACAACCTCCACTCCGCGCAGGACTTGGAACACATTACCATTTGTGCTAAAACATGTGCTACCCTATTTGCTTCTCTCTTTATCTTGTGCACTTGCACTTGCTGAAGGCATTGCATCACTCCTTTAATCTCTTCAATCGTCGTCGCCCAGGCCGATTTCAACTGATCATGCCTCATTAAATCTTTAACAATTTCTGCATTGTCCATCTCCAGCACGTTAATTATATTGGCATTGATTTGTACGTGTACGTACTACGTACTATCTACCTGCTCGTGTGACAGCAACATGCATAATGCATTGGTAGCTAACTAGGCTCCAAAATGCAGCAGATAATTTATGAATGTACTAGGCTAACCGAATACGTGCACGTATGCCAAAATTGACAGCCTGAATATTCGGGTGTGTGTGTCTCCAGCAGTAGTTCTTCTCGATCGACGAATCTATACACAACTACGTGCGTATAGAGACACTCGTCCTACTTAGTACTCCTGCCGTACGTATTTATTGTACGTACTCCCTTCAGTTGGATTAATTTCATGAGAAAAGCGAGAGTCCGATCCGAATATATTCATGTGGGTTGATATATAAGTTTTTCATTTAGCAACTGAAGACATGCTTGGAAGTTTGAAAGCGCGCAGGGAGTTTCGCAGCAAAGTTCACTGCAAATGATTAGATCCTAATTCCCAGACAGGAACTAATTTCAATTTGTCTGCTACAACGGATATGTCATGAGTATACACGGTTGAAAAAATATTTCAAGATTATTATTCGTGTAGTACATGCAGCTAGCATATACTTATACTTTTGTGCATGCATGGCAGGCAAAACTTTTTCTTGCCCGCAGGCTAATACAGCGAACAGTCCACTTGTAAAGCTGTTGAAAAATCCGGACCAAACCTGCAGGGGAGCACTAGTGCTAGTCTCCGATCAGAAATTCGCCAATAGCATGTGATGTATGGGCCCAAGCTAGCTAGCGTCCATGCAAATAGGGTTTGACACAGATAACTATACTACTTATTCACATCTGAGTATGCATCAATATTAAAACGACCGAACTAACTAATCCCATTGAAAAAAAAATGATTCCACCTATTGCGTGGCGTCCCTTTCTAATCTTTACACAGACAGGTGCCTATGAGCTGTCTAATTCGTAAACCTCTCTAAATAAAACTCTAGCTTCAGACACGCAGAAATGTTATTTTTATATATCTATATATTCTCGTTCTCCACTGCTCATTAGGACAGCCAGTTTGCGAGAACTCTGAGAAAAGAACAGCAAAAGCCACTGCAATAGAAGCGCGCGAGCGCTGAGAGTATCTCAGATCCATGGAGATGGAGGCTGCCACGCCGGTGCCGAGGAGTGACGGCAGGAAGCTGGCGAGGTGCCCGAGGCTGCAGATGGACGCCAAGACGGTCACTGCCATCGAGCAGTCCACGGGCGCGGCCATCGCCGACGCCGCTGCGGCTGGCGCCGAGGGCGCCGGCGGCGGGATGCGCGTCAAGATCGTGCTGAGCAAGCAGCAGCTGAAGCAGGTGGCCGCGGCCGTCGCCGGAGGGGGCGCCTTCGCGCTGCCGCCGGCGCTGGAGCAGCTCGTGAGCGTGCTCAAGCGGCAGCACGCGAAGAAGCAGGTGGCAGCGGCTGCTGATGTGGTCGTCGGAAGGCGCCGCTGCCGGTGGTCGCCGGCGTTGCAGAGCATCCCGGAGGAGTGCTTTAGCTAGGTACCCACGTCTACGAATGTGTAGTCGATTCGCAACATGTATAGCTTCGGTGATCAGTCCCTCCTTTTTTTGGCGATATTCCCTTCCTTCCTACTAGGCTGCAACCGATCGATCTAGTTGGGCCAAAGTTAGTGCCCAATGGTTGCATCCCAACTTTGAAATGTCATGTATTTTAATCTGGCATTTGGACCCAAATTTTCCTCCGTTTTCCTGGTTCGATGCATGTACATATCTCTGCACACGAATAGTATTCAATAAGATGATGAGCTGGGAAAAGGAACAACAAAGTGTGTGAAGTGTCCCTTTCTTTGGCTTCAAGTTGTGTCCTGCGTCAGGTAATAAACTGTGTGTGGCAGCGAGGTAGCAGATGGAGTGTTGCTGGGAAATGGGAGCCAGCAAATCCCTAAAGATTCCTCTTCCAGTACGACAAGATCTACTCCTACAGTCCTACTACACAAAAGGGTTGCAGTTACGTGTTGGCCCAAGGGTGTAGCAGTGGCATGGCCTACTGTGAATCTGTGATTGTGTATGTCACATGAGTCCAGTGGTCGAGGTAATCTTGCTAGCTTCATTTCAGAGTCGAATTGAAACTTCGAAATAGAGCACTTATCCTCTTTCCGTGAACAAGGAATGGAGGATATCGACGCCGTTATATATGGCAGATCGTTCAGTGCCTGTGAGAGGGGAAGTTAACTTGCCATGAACACACCATCAAAAATTCAGTCATTGGATCAGGAATAGACTGTAAATTGCCTTTGCTGCTCTAGTGCTATGACGAGAGGGAGGGGAAGTGAGTCAGTCATAGAGAGTAAGAATTAAGAATGATCTAAATTTAGCGTGCGAGTGACAAAAGCGTAAGGCACACGATCAGGATTCAGGAACGATGGATGGTTCAGATAGCTATGTTACACCGATGTCAAATTAATCTCGAGTTGCTTAGTTAGTTACTAACCATATTGTGTGTACACTACCAAAGTATGTTGACAGTTCACGTACGGTCTTCGTTATTAACCACCACTAGTCAGTGTAGGGATAACTACATTATATCACTTATCAAAGCATAGGTAGTCCGGGCCGTGGGTACGTTCAGAGGGTTTTACACAGGGAAGTGGTACGTGTTAATTCCTTGAATCCTCACAGCTAGTAGTATCGATCGAAATGGATCATGGATGATCATGAATGCTAGCTTTCACGTACCATCTCATCACCGTGCCGCTCCAAGGAAACTATGGAGCTCACGTCCTAAGGTACATATACAGTACTCTTCTACATAACGTACAGGTCCATTCCTCGTTTCAGACCTGTACTTGTAAAACACCGACTAATTAAAAATTCCAATCGTAATACTATGGCTGTGTTGGATCCAAACTTCAGTCCTTTTCCATCACATCAACCTGGCATACACACACAACTTTTCAGTCATATCATCTCCAATTTCAACCAAAATCTAAACTTTGCGCTGAACTAAACACAACCTATTTCTGTATTTCCCCTAAAATATCATACTGAAGATGATCAAGCAAGCAACCCCAATCACCATTTGCTTCTGAGTTCTGACCACCGCTCGCCGAGTCACTGGTCCACCTACTCTCCGTATCAAACACCGGACCACCGCCGCGGCGTGGTGTTCGGTTACCGGTTTGCACCGGCCTCCCCACGCGAGAAGCCACACGAGTCCACGAGTCGCACCCCCGGCAACACGAGAAACGGCTGGATGAACCAGCGAAAATCCAGCCCGGCCACACACGGGAGAGCTCTAGTAGCGCGCTGAGCAGCCAGCGCCGCCGCCAGAGCGCACATGCCGATGCTTTCCCGGGGCCATGCCTCGATGCCGCGACGGATGTGACGCTGCCATCCCTCGTTGCGTAGACGTGCGCGAGCTGCGAGCCGGTGGGTTCGTTCGCGGTGGAAAGGCCACAACCCGACGAGACGGCTGCCGTGTCGATGACGCGCGCGCGCGTACAAAACGCCCCAGCGGTTTGCAGACGCCCGTGCCGATCTCACCCCATCCATCGGCTGGGCCGCGCGGCGCAGCCCGCGGGCGGGCGGAGACAGGAGGGACAGCTAGTCGCGGGCGCGCATGTGACGGCCTACCTGAAAGCGACCGTGCCTGGCTCCGAGCGCTTTCGTGGGAGGAGGCAAAGGGGGCGCAGCGCGACACGCATCGACCGGCTCGGGACAGCTCAGTCACACGTCTCGGCGTACGAACTGGTTGGGCGCTAGAGCCCGCATGGAAAGGATGATGAGATGATCTGGACCGTGAGGCCACGATCCGACGGGTGGATACTGGCGGGGAGGGAAAACAGAACGGTCCAGCGGTCCGTGCACGGTGGACGGGGGTCCACGATGTGATTGAGTCCCTACCGTGTCTGTTAAACCCAAGTTGGCTGTACTGGATACTACGCGTCCTGCTTATCCGAAATAATTTCGACGATTGGGACTCGTCCCTTCAACAGCGGTGGCACCGGCACGTCACGCCAGCATCATCATCGCGTCACGACCTCCCCCCTCTCTCATTTTGGTTTTCTTTTTTCCGGATCTTTAAATTATGTGGCGTTGGGCCCAACCGATCTAGTACATGTTACCTGCAAAAAATAATTCGTGGTACAGGTACCCATGATTCAACTCTGCATTTGTTTACCTGCGTCGTACGTCCATTTTGTGCTATCCAATGTTGATCACATTATTCGCTTCACAAGGTAGGAGTAGGAGTACTGTAAGTAACTTGAGTGCGAGTTAAAATGGTCAACCTGTACACTCACTCGCCGAGTTCAGCTACTACTCCAGTAATTCTCAAGTAAAACCATTGCCCTTCATCCCGAAGCAACCAGCACGCCTTTTCCGAACCCGATCGACCATCCGATCAGCATCCAACGGTTGAGCCGCGCCTGAGCCGTCACCATGGAGTACCAGAGCAGTTTCCTCCACGCAAATCTGGGATCGCCGAGCAGAGCTGCGCAAACGCAAACACAACATAAAACCCTTCCACAAAATGTTGACCTGAAAAGCAGCGCCTCCTTCACATGCACGTTGTCCGTAGCGCGTACATCTCACGTACTTGGCTGCATGTATTCCGGCCGCAAGCGAACAAGAACAGCCGCAGAGGAGCAAAGCTCTGCATTTCAACAGCGTAGTATAGTAGTACTGTAGTAGTAGTATTTGCTTGTGGTCAGGAGCCTTCCTTGAAGCAACCTCCAAGGTGGCAGCATTGCAACGGACGAATTAAGATCCAACTAATCTGCCCATGGCTCGTACTTTAGGTTACTAATCAAGCATCATTTTATAAACTAATTAGCCTTTCCTAAATAACTGTGGCTGGCATGTGGGCCCGGGGTGGCCAACCCTGGCCAGCAACCGCACGCGAAATACAGCGCAAGATCTAGCTTTGTCCATGTGAAGAAAGCTATGTACGATGGTACATTTGATATCAATTGGTTCAAGGCATTGTTTAGTATGGTTTGTGTTATTAATTATTGCTTATTTGTTTATGCAGTGGTTTGCACCCAAAGAAATGGCTGCTACGAGAGCTAGCTAGCGGCCAATCCATCGCTCTCTCCCCATGTTACTTCCCCCTCCAAACATGGCGATTGGATATGCATCGCACACTGCCCCTGATATAAGAAAGAGCAGTAGATAATAGCTATCTAGATACCCCCTGAGAAGGCAAAGACTGCGGGGCTTTGACAAGTTAGTTAGTTAATCATGAGCAGAAGAAACTTGCAATCCACCGTTAGTAGAAAGAATTCGTTTCACATACACCGGTTTAGCTATACGTACGTACCTACCTACCTTGTGAATAATGCAGGCAATGTCACTAGAGATAGCTAGTGTTGATCGATCGATCATTCACGCCCCATATCTTAGTGGTTGCTGCGATCTTGGTATCGTACAGGTACAGCCACTTGACGTACGAATATTGCGTCTAGCACGTTATTGCCTGCGTTCATTTGGCTCGATTGAATTGGAACAACGTCCCGTGTTTGCGCGATCGATCGCGTTTTTCTTGCGGCCTGCATTATTAATTTCCAGGGGGAATTCGAACGATTCCACGCTGCTCCTGCGATTTCAATCATGGAGGTTGGTTCACCCTCCGTCCGCGTACGTTGATACGCTACTTGCGCCCGATCATGGCGCGTCCTCGATCTGTTTATAAAAACGAATAAATTCGCCATCAGATGATCGTCGGGTGAACGGAAGTGTAGTTGAACGCTTGATGTGCATTGCCGTCCTAATTCTGGTGGGGGCAGGGGGGGGGGGGGAGTTCGATCTGATTATGTCTGTTAACTGACGGTTAGGACTTAGGACTATGATCTAGTCAGTTAGTTTGAGATGTTTTTGATGTATACAGTTTAAATTAAAAATTCGTATCAACGACGTTCGCTCGACTGTTCTATCACTACAACTATGTGTCATGGGGAGACTTGTTTCATCATCTAAACACGCAAGGATTCGGCTCGAGAGCCCTGAAAAGGACACTAATATTATCTGCGATATATGCTGAAAATTTCTGACAAAACCTCTTCTCAATATTATAACGGATTCATCCGATTCCATTCCTCTGTTTACCTCTGCTCTGTATACATACTCCGGATAGTTCAACTTTATGTACGCTAACATATGCTAACCGATCACGTGGATAATTAATACTACTACGTGTCTGCATATGCGTAATACCTGACGGTCGAATTAATGGCAGTGCTACAGTGTTCCACCGGCAATGTGGCGAAAACAGTAAGGAGAACATGCCAGGGGCGCTGCTGTAGCTAACAATGTCTGTGTCAATTGTGCCATCCTAACCAAATGTTCGTAGACTCCACGAGTCATCGAGTCGTGAGGAGTGACAACACGTTACTTGCAAAGGGCCTCCCTTCCGATCGATCCAATGATCCCGGCCCCCGTCTCCGCGAGAGGGACGGCCATGTGAGGCGCCCATTTCTCTATTCAACTTCGCCATCTTGATTAGTCCCTGTCTCATGATTGTTTTTTTGAGTGTTAATTAAAAAAACTTCGCCCTTTTTATTGTCATGTACATTAAGAAGAACTTAACCACAGAAGTGGACGTACTTTTATTTTTTGTTAGCGTGGGGGCAGGTTGGGGTAGGAGTCGATGGATGGCCCACCTGTCAGGGAGAGTGGGGGTGGTACACGGTTGGAGTTGGAGACAGTTGTGGCTGCGCTCACCAAAAGGCAAGGCAAATGCATCAGCTCAAGGTCCCCGGAGTAGTATATAAGTAGGTTGGTGCGTCACATTACTCGGCAGCGGACACATTCACTTTGCCTTCGCTTTAGCCTTTGTGCTGTAACTTGCAAGAAACGTCGGAGTACTCGCTTGCGCGCGCCCGCGGCGGCGGCGGCGGCGACGAGCGATCGCAGCGGGTGACGCGGAGATGGCGTCCAGGTGCTTCTTCCCCAGGGAGGCCGAGGCCGGCGGCCGGCACCACCACCACCAGTCCAAGGCGGCTGCGGAGGCGCTCGAGCAGCTGCACCACGGCGGGCGCGTCCTGTCGCGGGAGGACGTCGGCGGCGCAGTGCGCGTCAAGATCGTGGTCAGCAAGCGCGAGCTCAAGCACATGGTCGCGGCGCTCGGCTCGGGCACCGGCGGCGGCGGGGCGGTGGCGGCGGCGGCGGCGGTGACGGCCGCGGGGGAGCGGCACCGTCAGCGCGCGGCGGGCGGCGCCGGCGGCCCAGGCGCCGAGCAGAGGCTGCAGTCGCTGCGGCGGCGCAGCATGCGGAGGGCGGCGGAGGCGGCGCGGCGGATGCAGGCGAACGGGGAGTGGGAGCCCGGCCTGCAGAGCATTCCCGAAGAGGTTTACTGAATATTATACCAGTAGATGGCGTCGTTAGTGATGGTTAATCACTTGACTAATTAAGGTTGGGTTTTGATCACTGCCTGCTAAGTCTAAGTGGTAGATGTACTTGTACAGCGCTCTTGATTTGTTCCCGGTTACTGTTGAGGGTTAAACCGTTAATCCTCCCCCAATGAGTTTGTGCATTTTTTTTTCACTGTAAAATTTTGGATGGAAGAGAGGGGAGGTGGTGTTTGGACTGCAATGCAACTGCTCCTGATGGTGTTTGAGTGACTGTGAGAGTGATTCAGCGAGTGGCTGAATTTCTTCTCCTTTTTGTTTGTGGCACTGTAAAAGTTTTTACTGCCACTGCAGCTGATGTAAAATGGTTAATTTTGAAGAATTGACAGTTTACTGTCCGTGCTTAGTGCTTACTACTCCAGCTAGTAGCATTAACTAATCTGTTCCTGCTTTTTTTGTTCTTTTGCCTTTGTGGTGAGCATGGAAAATTATGGAAAGTATTAGTTAGGAGGTGAGCATACGAGAACCACAGTGCTGAGATTCCATTTGCACATGGCCAGATGGTCGTCACATTAAACAAACAGATCTTCTCTTGTTTGTTCTGTTATCCACTAGCTGGCTTTGCCATTCTGTGTTGTGTGGTAGCTGATTAGCTGTTCCCTTTACCGCTGTACGTACGGGTCGTTTTCTCCAGAATTATTTTTCGTCAAGCTATAAAGTTTTTTTGGGCTATAAAAAGATGAGCTTAGCTGTTTGCCGTGACGTCGTGTTTGTTGTAATCTCATGTAAATTTGCATCCGGCCTAAACTTTTAACGTAAGATCATGATTCTTGCAGTCTCATTTAGACAAAACTTGCAATGCTTTTCATATTTACTGGTTCAATTTTTTTTATAATGGAACAAAATCCGGTCTTTACTCAACAAGCTACGACCAATTATTTTCACCAGTTTTTCAAGTATACTGATCTTAGTTTCTCGAACACATGAACTAAGTTATAAGGTTAAATTGGCATGCAATTTTGTATATTTCCACGCTTTATTTACTCTCTCTTCTAATGTATGCCGGAAATGAGAAAGATTGCGAGATATTTGCTGATGATAACGTGGGCATTCAGAAAATGTATAACAGGAACAGAACAGAGACGACAAAGTATGACTAAAATGATTTACATATGTATAGTTGGAGGGATTAGCACATCTTAGTCCTTATCTCCTTGAAAGGCAGTGGGTGCCACTCTGAAATACACCAAAGCCATTCTTGATTATAGCTATTAATGCATAATATTTGGCCAGTCCTGTGAATCATATTTGCTCATCATGTTCGAAATTTGGACGCTGTCCCGTCATGACCCCACGATGCATAAAAGATTGATAGTGAAATCTGAATCTATTTTTCAACAACGGTCCATGTTTAAACCACCAACCCTCTTGTTTTGACAGAACTTTCAGGCTTGGTCACTCCACGAACCACCGGTCTGTCTGCTCGGCAAGGGAAGAACAATAATTCAGCATTTAATCTGCTTTTGCCTTTTGTACTTTTCTATTGACATAGAAGCCATGCATAATTCATCGCTCATCCTCTTGCTGCAACAACTAACCATTGCTTCCGCTTCACGCTCCCGATAATGCCTGGACTGAACTAATAAGCTGACAGACGACGGCAATTGCAGCACAGCGATCTCGCTCTGGTAAAGAAAATCAAAACAACAAAACAAAACGTAGAATTCAGAAACTTCATCTGATGGTTAGATCTCCCTCGTGCTTGCGATATCCCAGGAGGGGTGAAGTTGAAAACGCATAGATTTATGCAACCAGGCGTGTGTGGGAGATCGAAAGATCTGTACTGCTTTTCTCGAGAGAGGTAGCTGATGGCCCGGGACTGCTGCGAACAAGAACATTTGGGACTTGTAAAATGGGCAGCGTAAGGGTTACTCGCGTTGACATTTGACGAACCTGCCACTGCTGCATCTTCCAAAGCTCCCCCTACAGGTTAATTAACCTGACGACCCTTGCAAGTAGCTTCAACGACCCTATGCTGTAGACTTGCAGTTTACATGCAGTAGGTCAATAGGATTAGTAGAGAATTAGAGAATCATCACTACACCTAAGTCCTAATCTATATACTGTAGTCATTTGAGACAGAATACTGCAACTGAAGTATGTTCATAACCAATGGTAAAAGAGAAAATACTGCAACTGAAGTACGTTAAGAGAATTAGAAAACTGGAAAATTTTATGTACGTAAAGAGAAAATTTTATCCTCGCAGCCTGAACCTCCGAGGCGCCGACAACGTTCTCCACAATGGAGTAAAACTACCTGAGGTAAAACCACTGCAGATCTTCGTGCTACACCTTTGACCTAGGGCTTTCTGAAACTTTATGCAAAAGCGACTAGTAACACACAGGGCTGGGGTAATGTCTTGTAAAAGATTACGCATAATTTTAATAACGGTAGAATTTGGTGTCATAAAAATTTGTGCACAATTTACGAACAGCCGTTTTGTTTCCACAAATTCAGCTCGCTGCAACTATTGAATAGTCTTATATTGGTTGTGAAAGGGCAAGTGACCTAGTATATAAGTGGGGGAGTCTCTCACCTCATTGGTTAATTTTTGAGGTGGGAAAGACCATTTACGATTCTACAATTGCTATCTGAGTCTGGTTAGTTCAATATCTCTAACCTGAGTGGCAAAGTGTGCGAAGGCATGATGGACCGTGGATGCTTGTGGAGCCTGTATACCTGAGGGACCGTAGAGAAACAGTGAATGGACGGTGAAAGGCCGAGGGACACCAACGTATACCTGAGAGACCATAAGGAAACGGTGAAGGGGTGGTGAACGGCTGAGGGACACCAATATATGAAGGGGGGAGATTATTGAATAGTCCACATTGGTTATAGAAGGACAAGAAACTTAATATATAAGTGGGGGAGCCCATCCCTCATTGGCTAGCTTTTGAGGTGGGAAAGATCATTTACGATCCTACAGCAGCAGCGTGACCTTGCCTCACGAGCTGGGCTGCAAACCCGAAAAGGGGAAGCTTAGTGTGATCTCTCCCTTGTGTTATGAAAACTCTGGGCTATACAGACAATATCCATCACAATACAGAGTTTGGGCTTGGCTAGGCTGCCATTCAAGTCATCCAAGGCTAGGTTGAACGGTTGATGCTAGCCTGGCGTGACAAGACCAGTCGTTTGGAATCATAAAAGAAGTTACTATAGAACTTTCGAAAGAAAATTTCTCTAAAATCTTTCAAATATAATTACAGTGTAACTAGAATGTATGTAATGTAACTTGTCTAAATCTTTCAAAATCTTATGGCAACTCAAGTGGCTAGCATGGTTTGCGGAAACGAGGTCCTGAGTTTGATCCTGTGCAAGTGCACAAGTAAATTTTCACACGAATTTTTCCCTCCACACGCTAGCACGAATCTTAATGCAAATCCGACGACCGAAAAATCAAGAGTCTTTCTCCCTATTTTCTATCGACAAAAATCTAGCAAATCCATAAAAAGAAAATCATCACTTCCGGTGGCAACCTATCCCGGAGGGGCAAGAAAAAGATAGCTTGCTCGGGAGAGTCAACTCCGCTCTCCTTCGAGAGCAAACGTCTCTCATGCAATCATCCAAATCGTTCACTAAGGCAAGCCCAACAAAGTAGCAAGTTGAGTTTGCCTTACCGAACAACGGAACATACTGAAAATCCATACTGGCAGCCAACTTTCTGTCCTTCTCATGCTTGCCCGACGACAGGTATCAACCATTTTACCTGCAGCCTTAGATAATGGAGTAAGAGGGGTGAGATTGGGATAGGGATATGAGTGGGGGGTTGAGATGAGATATGAAGAATGGATGGTTAAGATTAAAAATTACCATTTTAGAAGGTGGGAAAAGATTTTACCATCCCATTATCCAAAGTTCGGAAATTGCTTCCCATGTGTCGTCCGAGCAAAAGAGAAAAATCGAACCCGCTTCATGCAAGCATGTGTTTCCAAGTGTGCATGGGGTGTGAGACCCATGGAAAGGTCATTTAGAATGAGAGAGACGTATCGGGGTTTGTCTTCAAAATTCAAATGATTTTTTCTCCTAAACTATTTATCCGATCTAAAATCCGATTACACCATTATATTTGTTGGAATTAAATCGTTATAACAAGATATCACATTATTATATTCTGATTAAAGAAAAATATAAGTTTCAAACTATTAATACTTCATGTTTCATACGTTATATCCATATGTTTCAGCACCTGTTTTTATTGTGTTTCATAAAATTATCAAAAATAATTGCTACTACCCTCCATCAATGCTTGCATGCATGCATTTTATCGGTCTTTAAAATGATTTTTCTTCTAAACTACTTATCCAATCTATGATTCGATTACACCGTTGTATTCGTTGTAATTAAATCTTTATAATAAAATATCACACGATTAAATTTTGATGAAAGAAAAATATATGTTTCAATCTATTAACTCTTATTGTTTCATAAGTGATAGCAATATGTTTCAACGTGTATCTTCACTGTGTTTCATAAATTTTTTAAATGTTTTAGTTGCTGTTTTTTTGTTTCACCATATATAAATTAATGTTTCACTTGTTGGTCAGCTGCAACATTTTGACCGACCGATGTTTTTTTTGATATATCGGACGTTCGATTGGTAGTATTCTCCCCAAAGTTCCAAACACACCCTAGTTGTTTTTTTGTTTCAACCGGGCTGGGGTTGGGAGGAGATGGAACAGATGGAGACCGAGCCACCAAAAAGCCCAAACCTGTAACAACACCCCACTGACCCAGCAGCGTAATAGGCCTCTTGCCTCCTTGCGTTGCGACCCAGCCCCCTGTCCCCTGGCCTCCCCTCCTCCAGCACCCGTTCCGTCTCCTTCGCCCGCCGCCTACGCCGTCGCGCCGATCTCCATCACCGCGAGTAGCGGCGCCGGCGTCGTGCTGCTTCCGGCTTCCGCCGCATATTCTCGCCTCTGACTCCTTGCGCGCAAGCCAGTCTCCACGTCACATCAGCCTCGACTCCCGTCTCCTCGCGAGTTCGTCGGCCGCCTGCGTCGACCTCTTATACATCGCGCGAGCAGCGGTGCCGTCGCCCTGCTGCTTCCGCCTCCGGTGAGTACCCGTGCCGAAGCACATCCTCTTTCTTTCTCATCCATTACTACCTTCACATTTTCTCTTTGCCCTTACCTTATCTTTCTCTTCTAGATCTAGAAGCTTAGGTTTTTCTTTGTCTTAACCTTAGTACTAACTTTTTTTTTAGAAGATAGAACATATTTGATCCGACTTTTGTAAGAAAGCCAAAGAAACTTACTGTAGTTCATCATCCAACGAAAAGAAAAAAAACAGATTCCTACCAACGACACTAGACACCACAAACAGACTACTGGGTTGCAAGTTTCAGAAGTAACATCAGGGCCATAGGCAACGACATCAGACCCTGTTTAGATGAGACTAAAACTGTTAAGTCCCTATCACATCGGATGTTTGGAAACTAATTATAAATATTAAACGTAGACTATTAATAAAACCCATCCATAATCTTGGACTAATTCGCGAGACAAATCTATTGAGCCTAATTAATCCATGATTAGCTTATGTGATGCTACAGTAAACATTCTCTAATTATGGATTAATTAGGCTTAAAAAAATTATCTCGGAAATTAGCTTTTATTTATGTAATTAGTTTCGTAAGTAGTCTATATTTAATACTCTAAATTAGTGTCTAAATATAGAGACTAAAGTTAAGTCCCTCGATCCAAACACCACCTCAAACACCTCCAAAAACACTCAAAACAGAAAGTGACAGGATTACAGTTCTCATAGCTAAACTTCAGACATTCAGCTATCCATCAATCTCCATTGGCAGCACGTCAGGAGACTTCAGCACTTGAATATTATGCTCCATAATTCGATCACACCACACCTGCAGCATACTGTGCTCCTATTCATTTTACAGGACCATCCATCTCTGAATCTGCGCAATCATTTTATACAAGATTGTCTAGGGTGATTTTAACACAATGATTTGGAAAACAAAGCCATTCCTAGTAAGCCACAAAACACAAGCCCCAACAACCTTATTACTGACTAAGAGTACCCCACACGATGTTGTGGGTTTGTTTGTGATTATGCATATTTATGTTCATGGTAAAATGAGGATGCGGGTACAGTAACTAAATTTTACTATCGACGTACAATATCACAATAGATCTTTTACCTATCAATGGAAGCATATGACCATTGATGGATGAGATATCATCAGCAAAATGGAATTTTTGAAGCATGGCATCTTTGCAACTGAATTTTATTACTCTCACCATTGATCAGCATGGATCCAGGCCTAGGGCAGCTAGAGCTCAAGCCCTAGTTCTGGGATCCAAACCCCATGCAAATTCCATATTAATTTTAGAAAGAATGCTTGAATTTATAGAGAGCTAGGACAAGGTAATAGAACTAAGCCCTGGTGTGGCTTCAAGCTGTCTCCGCCCCTGAAATTGATCTCAACGTTAACTCATGGTTCTGATGTTTTTTTCTTGAACGTTTTTGGTAGTATGACTAAGCCTTGGAAGGTTTTTATGTGTACCTTGGAAGTGCTTTTGCTGTACAGAAAGAAAAGGAGATTATGAGGAGGGTTTTAGAGGAAATTAACGTGTTCTTTATATGCACTGCAAACGGCTTGTCAAACTGTTGTGGTTAATTACTGACAATTGGCAAGAGTCGCAACATATTTTGCTTCAATTTTTTTCCGGACAACACTGTTGTTTTGGCTTCTTTACCTTTTTACGGACAACAGTGTTGGTTTGGCTGCTTTGCCTTGACAGTTAATCACGTAGCAAACTTCCTCAACAAAGGCAGTTGCAATTCATATATCTAATGGTCATTATCCCTTTTCCTTTGATCCAAGAGCTTCTACTTTTTTTAATGGTGTGTCTTAACAGGGAGGCGCTGTGTGTGGTCAAAAATTAAAGGAGAGGGAGGGAGAGGTAGCATATTTCTCCCCCAAAACGTTTGGGGGTTCAGCTGAACCCCCATGCCCCACCGGTAGGTCTCACAGAATTGTACATCATGCAACCTTTTCTCCTGAATTTCCAGGGTTACGGGACAGTTTGCATGGCATGATCATATTTTGCTAAGGTTCTATTAGAGTGTCATTCGATGGCCCATTTCATGGACTTAAGGGCTTTCATCCTGCGTGCACGTGTTTTAAAGCTTTATAGGCAGGCCTTGCGCATGACTCGCCGAGCTCCTGTGCATGCACGCGGTCAGACATTTTTAAACCTCGCTTTCCTATCTTTTCTGTCTAATGTTTACTCTTGAAGTTACAACTAAATATTCTTGAATGTTCTTTGTCCAGATGAGTTGAGGCAAACTGTAAGAGCTGAGATTGAAAAAAATCGCCGTTGTGACGATAAACAGAAGATTAAGTTCTTGATCAGTGAAGGTCTGCAACGATTAAAAGGTCTTGATGAGATGCTTGACATGACAGGAAATAGTTAACTTGAGTTTCATGTGGGAATCTACTGTTGTATTCAATTCTCTCATGGATCCATGTAGTTATATAACACACTTTACCCTTTACAAAGGGCAAGACATTTGTTGTTCTCTAGTTTCATCTGCGGAACCTGTACAATATTTGGGGCTGGATTGGGGTTAGGTTGGCTCAGAACTACAGATCATGGACCTTTTCTAGAAGTCAGCTGGTTTCCACACCAAGATATTTTGGTTAATTGTTTTCTGTAACTTTCTTATCAAGGGATGTAAAGTCGAGGATAGTTCTGTATTTTTTTTCTCACACTTAACATAGAACAGGACTGAAGGTTTTTCCAGTTTTGAGCTAATTGGTTTTCAATTGTACTATCCTTTCATGTGAAATTACGAACAGAATTGATGCCATTGAAATTACTTCTTTTGATCACTGAAATTTCTAGTATCGACGAAGAACTAACAATCAAGAAAGTCTGCCTGCTTATTACGCCCATGTAACCATTCTTCCATCAAACTTTTTGTCAACATAGAACGAGCTATTAAATGGTGCTACTTTAAGAAAGAGGAAATAACTAATACTACAATACGTAAAGGGCAGAAACAGATCTGCTGCTGTGTCTAAAATTTTAAGCTTCAATCCCTAAAGCTCTTCCGGTACTGACAAAATCATAAACATTTGACAAAAAAGGAAGAAAGATGAAACTTTGGATCGTTTCAGCAGAGATTCATAGCAACAAGTTAACCTCAAGGAACTGACCCAGAAACACATAAGTAGTACATCAGAACTTGACTTCAAGCAGCATCAGGTAACATAACCCAGAAATTCACAAGTACAGCACAACAACAGAACTGAACCCAGATTTACTAGCATCAGGACTTCAGGATTCAACAGTTCAAAAGCCAAATCTGGATTTCCCCCACACAAGGATGTAAAATTTTACAGCTGCAGGCCTTGGATATTCGTCAAAGATATCTCAAAGCAACATAAAGATTGTCATCTAAATTGGAAAAATGTCTTCTGAAAAACATGAATGTGTTATCAACAACAAGTTTGGTCTATTCACAGTATTAGCTATTCCATTCATTCATCACCTAGAATAAATCCGGGCAAAATTGTTGACCTGTCAGAGTAGGAAAGGGCTGAAACCTGCATAAGCCTACTGATTTCTACCAACAATTAGAGCACCAAGGCAATTTACACGCAGCCCCGAATCCTCCAAAAAAAAACACAAGATAGCCAACAAGAAATCGCCAAGAACCGCTCTCCAGAGCCTAGAAACTGACGATGACGATCGACGAGAACTCATCAAGAACTCGTCAAGAACCAAGAACTGACCCATGATCGGGAGGGCGGCGACGCTGCCATCTCAAGAATTCAGAGCAGGCTTGGTGCGCGGCGGCGAGGTCCCCGGCGACTGCGTGGTGACCCAGGCGTTGCAGACGGGGCAGCGCGGCGAGATGGTGAGCCACCGGTCGACGCAGTCCTGGTGAAAGGCGCGGCTGCATCCGGGGAGGACGCGCACGGCGCGCCCGGCCTCCATGCCGTCGAGGCAGATCGGGCAGAGCTGCTCCTCCTCCTCTTCCTCGCCATCCCCGGCCACCGCCACGCAGATCCCGCCCAGCATCCTCAGCTCCTCCTCCGAGAGCCCGTTCTTGTCGTCCTCCTCCGTCTCCGGCGTGCAGGGCGGCGTCGGCGGCGGCGGCGGGTCCGGAGGCGGCCCCCGCGCCACGGCCTGGAACAGGTAGCAGAGCCAGACGCCCAGCACCCCGAGCATCCCGATGGCCAGCGACGCCACGCCCACGTACAGCGCCCAGAGCTCCTGGCTCTCCATCCCCCCTCTCTCTCTCTCTCTCTCTCTCTCTCTCTCTCTCTCTCTCTCTCTCTCTCTCCCCCTCTGCACAGAGCAATTCGTTGGTTTGATCGGAGGCGAGGCAGTTGCTAGCCGTAGCGATGGCGATGGCGGTGGCGCGCTGGACGTTTTATAGGTGAGGCCGTCGCGGTGCCGATCTAATGGGCCTCAGAGGCCGGGAAAGTCTAGGCCCACAAGCTCTCAGTCAAGGCCCATTTAGAGGTCCAGTTCTAGAACCATTGGGGAGGAAGAATCAGTATCGGAGAGTGAATTTGGAGCGAGGCAATAAGATCTCAGCGGAGGAGGAGACGAGGGGGAGGGAGACCCAGCGAGGGAGGAGAGGAGGATTCCGAGCGCTGCAGCCAGCCATGGCGAAGCAAGGGGTGAAGAAGACGAGGGACGCGAACAAGAAGCGGATGGACCTCATCCTGCGCCTAATCCTCGCGGCCAACGTGAGCGGTCCCCGTCGATTCCCTCCCCCCCTTCTGTTTTCAGATCCGTGAATTGCTTAGGACGCTGCTAGATGGTTGGTTTTTGGTTAGATTTTATTTTTGGCAGTGGTCGTGTGATACATGAGTTTGGGGGTGGTAATTTTGGTGAAGAATTGAATTGGACTAGCTGATCTTGCCTGGTCCCTGGAGTAGTTGTCTGGGCTATGGTAGTTATCGTGTTCAGTCTTCTTCTTTTATTTATTTATTATTTTTTTGGGAAGGTTTGAGTCTTGCATGTCAAGGTACTCAGTGAGAGGGAGGAAAGCTCTAGCGTAGTTTTGTCTTGTAGAATCACCTTCCCTTCTGACCTCAACATGTTCTGTGATGGATTCTAAGTTTGTTTGTGGAACATGTCATGTTTTGGTCATATCATGGGAAAATTTATGATCACAAAAGTTCATGATAGAAAGGTTATAATCTTGCCTTGGCGGCGATTAGGTGCTTGGTGCCATCTTGCCTCCATGCATTGCATTGATGCATTTTATTTTGTTCAACAAGGTTATGTATACATGGTTCTCTTTGGTACTTCTTTTCATAAAAATTGAAGTAAATTTAGGGTAATTAGAAGGTTATAAAGATCACTAAACCCCAAGTCCTCACTCTGATAAGATCAAACTTATGCTCTTTATTCTTGACTACCGGAGTAATAATCACTTGAATTTTATGCCCTTTGTGTCGTACTTAAACCAGAAAGAAATTAGGAGTATCACTTACCAGGAGTATCTCAGGGCATCTTTCACTGGCTTCTAGCCTACTGCATCTGCGAAAGTTGCTAATGCAATCGAATAAATTAGAGAAAGAAAAGAAGATGAAATCATCTCATATCCAATATTCCTGTGGGGGGTTTTGGTTTGTAAGGTTGGAATTTGGATATTGGTGGGTCTATTCTGGATCTCAAATTTAGTTTTATAACCTATTATCTTAAACACTATATAGCTTTGGCAATTATTAATATTTCTCCTAAAAATGCCAGTATATAAAAAGCATGCTATGGTAGCATTTCTTCTTTGCTTTCATTCTTTTCTTGGAAGTATGCCATATGGGATTCCTTTTTAATTTTTACCTGTTGGCTGTTCTTGAGGAGGTACCACAGTTTGTTAATGTAAATTTTGGTATCTCTTGATGAGGTACCACAAATTAATACTAAAAACTGTGGTACCTCTTGCTACCTTCTCAAGGACCGTAAAATCAGTTATATCACAACCTAATTATATACTTTAGCTATTTTGAGTTCGGAGTCTAGTACCTGATTTCTTGTATAACTTAATTTGTTGCGCAGGTTATTTACATAGTAGTGAGAATGGCTGTAATGCATTCGTCTTTCACCTGGAAGCATTGGATTGGTCTTGCTGTGACATCTGCTGCATATTTTCTGCCGTACAAGCAACTTGCCAATATGTCAGAGCCAGAATACTCTGAGAATGGAGAGTTAATTAATGCTGGTTATGACTTGAACGCTGGTGGAATGTCCGAGTAAGGAAAACACAATTGTTTTTAATTATTCTACTTGAAAATGAATTATTGGATATTTTCCATGGAAAATTATTAACTTTCAGTTGTGGACCTTGTAAAATTCGCCACAAAGACCTTGATCCAGCTTCTTTAAAATCAGTTACCAAATTTTAAAGCTGAAATTACATGAATACTCCTAACTAAAATTAGAGAGCTTTGACCATCACAGTGGGTTGAAACTTTTAGAATTTTGACATCATCCATTGATGGAATACATCAACTTGTACATGCAAAACTTCGTATGCCTTCTGCTGTATAATTGAATAATAAATCGTCATTTGCTTCTTTTCATGCAGATATTTACAAGATGTGATATATATCACTCTCTTTGTGCAGCTGATGTCTATTTTTTCTGATAAATTTTGGTGGACATATTTGGTGGTAAGATTCACACACACCATTCTTGACTTCAATTATATTTCTGTTTACTATGGCGATTACTTTTTGTTGATGTCACTATTGGTGTCACCCCTGTTTGGGATGCCCCCAATATAGAATAAAGTCAATATTTATAAACTACATAAACCTGCTTGTTCTGTAGCATGTTACAACATGAAAACTTGGTTGAAAACTATTTAAATTCTTGTCCTCATCCTCTTTCTTTATCCTATGTTTGTATGTTTCCATTATTTGATTGATGTTCCAGCATGTCTGGTGAAGATTCTGTGCTGAACTTGATATTATCATTCAACCTAATTATGCCAATGGCCTAGGAATGTTATCCATGATACCATGACCGTCTGATCTATGCTTGTAACTTATTTTGTGACCACTGGTTCATAAGGTGGTTTTACAGCGGTATATTTGAATAACAGCCACACTGCAGTACCAATTTAGATTACCGTCACTGATTGCTACTACTGTAAGCTGTTGTGCTCTTACTTTCAATCAGTTTTTCCTCGCAATCACAGGCATGTTAGGAATGTAGGCACATGGCATCATGGCCAATGAGTTAAAATCTCTAGAAAATTATTGTTTCGATTTATTTTTGTTATACAGGCATCTAACTATGGCCCCCTCTTTTTGTTGTTAAATAAAATTCTCAATGCGCATTGCAGATGGTAGCTACATATGATGAGTTGTGCACAATACCAAGAGGCATTGCCAATCATTGTTAACTTGTTATTAACCACATACCTATTGATTTTCAGATTCCAGCTTATGGTGGATACAAGATTTCCGGTCTGTTGAGAGGAGCATTTTTCGGTGGTAGTTCAGAGGTAAAAATAGAGTGATTGTCAGTGGCAGTACATTATTATCACAACCGACATTTGGATATGACTTATCAGTATTGTACCTCCTGTCTGCAGGGCGAAGAAGAGGATGAGAAGACCCGAAAGAAAAGGGAGAAGATGGAGAAGAAGGCATCTAGGGGGAAGATTATCAAAACCAGGACTCGTTGATGGCACATGTAGTGTATCGGGGCTCGTTGATGGCTCATGTGTATTATTGTTTGAAGGGTAGGTTTGCTTTACATGGCTGTCCAACTGAAATGTAAGCTGTCGGGCAGAATTGTTTCATGAATTATTCGATCATTTGCCCCAGCAGCTTAGTAGTAGCACAAATTTGAACTAATCCTCTTAACTTATCGATACCAGCATTATCAATGAGCAGCTCTCTTTTGGGTTAGCATTTCCCAACAATGAGATATGGCATATGAGAATTTTCTAGAGTCATATGGCTGTGTTCGCTAGGGGAGAATGGTAACCTGAACAGTGCACATGAAAAACGGAGTATTCCATTAACGCGTAATTAATTAAGTATTAGTTTTTTTTAAAAAAAAATGGATCAATATGATTTTTTTAAACAACTTTCGTATAGAAACTTTTTGCAAAAAACGCATCGTTCAGCCGTTTGAGAAAATGAGATGGGAGTGTTGGAAACTTTCCCCTCTTGCAAACACAGTTGTTTTCCAAGCATTTGCTGATGTTGCTTTCAACTATCATTTGCAACATTTTTTACTCCTTTGTGTTTGCAAATTACAATCAATCGTGCTGGTGTTTCAGTTCATTCCTATTCCGGCGACAGAGCAGGCAGTAGACGGCGCCGGCGACGAAAAAACTGACGAACCAAGCGTTGTTGTAGGCTGTCTCAAATGCCTTGGAGACGCTCGGTAGAACTCCAACATTGTGCAGGAATCCCGGCACGATCGGCGCAACTCCGGCCGCCATCGCCGCCATGGCGGCGACGTTGAAACCGCCCTGGAAATAGTAAGGCCCGTGGCTGTCCTCCGAGTAGAGCGCGTCGACGTCCAGCGCGGTTCGCCGGACGATGTAGTGGTCGGCGAGGATGATCCCTCCGATCGGGCCCATGAGAGCCGAGTAGCCGAGCAGCCATGTGTAGACGAAGCTCTCGCTGGAGCTGAGCAGCCGCCATGGCTGGAAGGCGATGCCGAGCAACGCGGTGACCAGCGCCCCCTTGGCGAACGTGAACTTGCGCGGGCTCATGCTGACGAGCGCGTTCGCCGGCGCCACCACGTTGGCGGCAATGTTGGTCGTGATGGTCGCGAGGCTGATGCCGACGATGGCGAGCACCGTCGTCACCGGCCCGCCGATGCGGCCGAGGAGCTCGATGGGGTCGGAGATGACGTGGCCGAAGATGGCCTCGGTGGCGGACGTCACGGCGAGGCCGGCGAAGGTGAACATGCCCATGAACACCGGCAGCCCGGCCTGGCCGAGCACCTGGTCCGCCTGGCTCCGCGCGTACCGCGCGAAGTCCGGTATGTTGATGGCCACCGTCGCCCAGAAGCTGATGTTCGCGGTGAGCGACGGGAAGAACACCTTCCAGAACTCGGCGCGCGTCAGCCTCGGCGGCAGCGAGAGGATGCGCCCGAAGCCGCCGGCGGACACGTAGGCCCAGGCCAGCAGCGCGGAGGTGAGCACGATGAGCACCGGCGCCGAGTACTTCTCGAGCTTGCGGATGCCCTCCATCCCGTGCATGATGACGCCGAGCTGCGCGGCCCAGAACGCGAGGAAGCACGCGAACTCCAGCGGCGCTGCACCGAGGCCTGGCACCGGCGCGAGCAGCGGCTGGTACGACTTGAGCCTGGACGGCAGGAGGAGGAACACGGCGCGGCCACCGATCCAGGACTCGATGCCGAACCACCCGCAGCCGACGAGCGCGCGGATGACCGCCGGCAAGTGCGCGCCGCGCACCCCGAACGCCGCTCGCGCGAGCACCGGGAACGGCAGCCCGTGCGTGACCGCCGGCGCGGCCGTGAGCACGAGCGAGACGAGCACCACCAGGTTGGCGAACGCGACGGTCGCGACGCCCTGCAGCGCCGACATGCCGAGGTCGACGAGGCTGCCGGCGAGGTAGTAGGACGGCACGCCGACCACAAGGCCGACCCAGAGGCTGGCTAGGTCCCAGGCCGTCATGGTGCGCTCCGACGGCGGCGTCGGCGACAGGTCCGACTCACTCGACGACATCCTGGGCCTCGCCGGTAGCATCCGCGGGCGCGACGCGAGCGTGAGCCCGGGACTCCGAGGAAGAAGAGGAAGCCGCGGCGGGGACGCATGGTGGCTCTTCACCTCAATTCGGTGGCCCAAATGGCTTCGATGCCGCGCGGCGAGAGCTCTCGACATCGCCATGGACATGGCCATGGCCGGTGGGGGAAGCAGGGGAAGGAGAAGTTCTTGGTTGCTTTGCTCGATGAGGAGGAGAGCTCGAGAGGATATGGGATCTCGTCGCTTGGTTGGTTGCACTGCGTGCCACTGTTCACCGGGGCCCACTGCCTTCGACAGCGAGGAAAGATTCCGTTAGTGCTCGGCCGCCGTTGGATCCTCGCTCTCTGAGACTGTGACTCGCAATCTGAACCGTTGGATGGGAGGAGTATTATTTTAAGGACATGTGAGACGTGTTTGGGGAAGGTGATTCTGACTTTGGTGAGAGCGAGACGAGGATTTGGAGTGTTGGACACTTTTGCCGTGAGGTTGATTGGCTGATCTAACAAGGGGTACTTGTTATGACCATGTGATGCGATGATAGGCCAGCTTTGGGTTTTTTTTACATGATAATCTCATCCAAGCTGCCATCTACATGTAGCTGCCAATAGGAAAATTTTGCCAACTTGTGATTTGTTTATAGTTGAGTTTTTGTCATGACTGGCGAACCCCTTAACCACGTTCCCTTTGAGATATCTGCATAAGTGAAAAGAGAATTCCAAAATGCCATCAGGATGAGCCACATCATCAAACAAATATTAACCCTTCGATACAACAATTCGGTTGGAGTTAGACACAGTTATTAAGATAGTAGGTAGAAGTGAATGGTGGAGGATTGTGATTGGATGAATATTAGAGGTAGGTGGGAAAAGTGAATGGTGGAGGGTTGTGATTGGTTGAGAAGAGAATGTTGATAGAGAAGTTATTATATTTTGGAACGGAGTGAGTAGCAAACAATATTATTGTTGTTCTAGAACCTTCATGCAATACCCATGAGATACTTCCTCCATACTCATAAAGGACAATGTTTAAGTCAAAACTTGGGAATATAAATCATGAATAACTCTCAAGTTGTTGAGTTTAAAAATGTAAAAATTATATGTATAGATTTGTCTTGAAAAATACTTTCATAAAAGTATACATATATCACTTTTCAATAAATATTTTTATAGAAACAAGAAGTTAAAGTTGTATTTTGTACACCGTGTCACTGTTCTAAACGACTTTCTTTATGAGTATGGAGGGAGTATGTGGTAAGAAAGATATGAGAATGAAAAAAAAGTACATTGACAAAAAAATCACCAATGAATATTCATAGAAGTTCTATTGCATAAAAAATAACGAGTATTAATGTATAGATGAATAGCTAATTAACCTGGTGCTATCGATTATTTCATTATGCCTTAAAATTACAAATCATGTTGCATGGAAGACATTCCATTGGAGCAGTTCATACTTTAGATTGATGTCATTTTCAACCATACAATTTTTTTTAAAGTTTCCAAAAAAATGTTCGCGTTTAGTTTGTTGCCAAATTTGGTAAATAAATAAAAAAATCCTGTCAAAATTTTGACAATATTGCCATATTGCCTGAATTTTGGCATTGAAAAAATTTGGTAAGATTTATTTTGGCTACAATCTGAACAGTCTTATAAGATTTACGTTAAAAATTGTATATATACTTCTCAACTGGTCATGACAGAATTGCAATGTGTAGAAGATGTGAGTATTTACATTATTAAATTTAGAAATTGAAGGAGGTAATGGTCACGGTAACATATGATAAATTATTTTTTAAAATAATATTCTTAATCACAAATCAAAGATATAGATATCTGTTAGTGTTATAGCTATACTTCAAAATGTGTTAAAAATGTATTTGTTTTTAATTATTATTAAAACATTTAGGCTCATTAACACAAACAACATATAAGCACATCTAATAGACAGAGAGGTTATATTCGCACAAACGTGCGACTCAACAGGCTAGTTGCTAATGAATGATCCGCAATGAGGGCGTTGAAAAAACATTTCATAGTGTGGAACAAATGCGATGTACTACAAATATGGCGCCCCGAACTACTATGCGTGGTTTATAAATATAGGGCCCCAAACTACTATGCGTGGTTCCTGCCGCCTGATATACTTTTATGCACGCGCTAATTCCCTCCCTCTCTCTCTCGCGGCTACTCCTTCTCCTTTCACTTATCTTTTAAACGATTTTTCTATTAAAATAATTTTCTGATTTATGATTTAATTATATCATTTAATCTTTACCACAAGACCTTACCAAAAAAAATGAACGTTGTTTCACTCCATTAAGAACATTGTTTCACTCCACTGCATAAATACAACATTTAAAACTGCTAACTGGAGCATCAACAACCAATTATATGAGACAATAAGTTCTAACGAGTGAAACAAAAAAGACATACGAAAAATATGTTATATTTGCAAATACTTAATGTTGTTGAAGTGTTTTTATATATGTATGAAACAATAAGTTGTACTAGTTAAAACCTTATAAAATATTTACTGAAACATTAAGAATACCATGTGCAACATTAAAAATTCAATTAAATATCAAATATTTTTCAGTGGAGGATAACCATGTGTGCTCTTATTGTAAAATTTTAATTTTAACGAATTTAATGTACAATTAATCATAGATTGTATAAATAGTTTAAAAGAAAAAAATCGATGAGTTTGTTACCTACAAACATATGAAGAGTACTACTTAGCATAAAACAAAAACAAGAGGAAGCAGCGAGAGGGCGCCGAGGATGACAACTATGTGGCGACGCTCCGGTGAGGCACGGCATGATCGAGGATCGGTAGCGTTCTCTGGGGTTCAGAATCTTAAACACCGACTCTCTGGATCTTTTATAGCCGTCCGATTAGGCATGTACGAACCGGATGAGCGGAAAAAATAATCCACAATCAAAGACCGCGTAGTCCGTTAGCCGCACGAACAACACCTTAACCACGCCGATGCGCCTGCGCTACTCTGCACACAGGACACAGCGCACCTCTGATTCCGTCATGGAGACCAGAACTACTCTCGACCTCAAGCCAGGGTGCTTCTTCCTGTACGCGGTACGCCAACGTGGCGGTGTCACTGTGGATGTTAAGTGCGTATGCCGGAGCCTAGAGACGAGGGCGTCGAGGGGCCGAAGCAGGGGTCAGCCACGATGTATGGGCGCTCCGGCCCTGTGGCGAAGCATGCGGCGGGGGTTCGGTGAATAAAAATCCGACTCCCATTGGGATATCTGCCGGCCGTTCGATCCGGCATGTGCGGCACAGATGAGCCGAAAATTATCACGGTCTCGCACACCCCGTTTGGGCTGCCGTCTCCCGTGCCGTTTTCTATCACTCATCAGCGCTTGACATTTCATGAACCTTTCCTCCCACAAATTAGATGCTGGAGAAATACGCATGTACACACCGAAGAAAAAATATTAAAAAAATGAATAATACAAGTGAAGAAATGTCACAAACCAGTATTTAACAACCGAATCAATCCAAACACAAACAAATCCTCAAAGCAGAGAGAAAACACGCAAGATGTGTACAATTTGCCATGCATTCAGTCGTGAACGCGCCGCCGGCGCGCACTCAGATATGGACGTGGCAGTTCACCCGATCGAACGAGCTCGGCGACGAGAAGTCGACGACCACCGGCGAGCAGCTCGCGCGCAACTTGTAGCGCCGTGTCCTCACCAAGCCGTACCGGAACCGCACCTTGCCCTTGATGTGCACGTCCACCGGCAGCTTCCCGTCGGACCTGTCCTTCTTCACGGTCGCCTCCACGCCCCGCGGCAGCGCCGCCCTCACGGCGGGCGCGGCCACGTCGATCCTCTTCACGTTCAGCGGCGGCAGGTCGAACCCGGGCGCCACGGCGCCGGCGAGGTACGTGCCGCCGTACCACACCCCGACCTCGACCGACTTGTACCACACGGCGGCGCGCTTGTTCTGGTTGTATGCGCGCAGGGTGATGTCGAAGGTGCCGTTGAGGCTGCCGCCGGACGTGAAGTTGAACCCGGTCACCGCGGCGTGGTCGACGTAGACGAGCAGCGGCTTCGCCGGGCGGACCGTCAGCCACAGGATGACGATGATCACCAGCAAGACGACAATCGCCAGCAGCGCCGCCGCGATGCACTTCGACGTCGTTGGCCGCGGCCGCCGCGTCGTGCTCCCCTGACGCGCCATTCTTCCACACACACACAGAGTAAACTATCGCTAGCTTGGTCACTACAGGGAACCAGATCGATCGAGCTTAACCCAGGAGTTTGTGATTAAGTTTACATCGTAGCGTCTCTATATATATAGCAACAACTGGACGATACTTTGAGTAGCGAGAGGAGGTTCCACGGGCTGTCACACAGGCTGTGGTTGGAGTAGGCGGCGGTTTTGGTACGTGTTGTTGCCGACGAGAGCTAGCTCGATCGGTGAGACAGTGAGACGATCGCTTTGCCTCTTTCCTTTGCACGGCTAAGCGTTCGTCGTGTCCCATCTCGTGTGGTCTTTTGGTTTGTAGGAACCTCTCGAGCGAGCGGCAGAGCGCTTTGGATGGAGCTTTGGTTTTGGAATCCTTCTGGCACACTCCTGTTGCTTAGGAATCATTGTCAAGGGGAGGGAAAGCACATCGCAAAGACAGCCTGCAAAACGGGTGCATATGTATCTAGGATGAACTCACATATTCACATATGCGAATTTTACTTTGGGATGAAAAGCGGGATGTAGAAGAGCCAGGAATGTGGAAAGGCGCCGACCGGTGAAAAGGTCGTGTGGCGTCCTAGTGAATTGTACATTTGATGACAGCCCACCATGTGAAACAAGGCCGCCACTTCAGCACTGTGGGCCTGGCTCATGCTCGGCCCAGCAAAGGCCATTTCACCAGGTTTTTTTTTTTGGAATAAGTTCACTTGGTGGCCCTTAAAAGTGATCGAAATCTAATCAGTGACCTAAACCACAGTACCGGATATCTCGACCCCCAAACTCTTAAAACCGGTGTAATTTGACTCCCTCGGCGGTTTTGAAGGGCGGTTTCGCTAACATGGCGCCTACGTGTCAGTGTTGACCTTGTCATCGTCCAACGTGGTGTTTGACGTGGCATTTATATGACATTAAAATATAAAAAATATAATTTAACTCACTTGTCAATCACACAAACAAAAAGGTGGGACCCACTTACACATGGGGCTCACAACCATCCGCTCCTTCCCTTCTCTCTTTCTCTCTCTCCCCTTCCTCTTCCCCTTTGTTGCGCTGGAGTGGCGGGCAGGGCCGGAGCAGCGGCGGCGACAGCGGACGAGGGCCGAGACGCGAGCGGCGGCAGCGGCGGGCGAGGGCTGGAAGAGAGGGAGGAGAGGCGGCGCTGCCGAGATCATGCCCGCTCGCCGCCGTCGAGCTACTCCTCTACTCCGTCGCTGCCTGCCGAAGCACCGTCGCCGTCTGACGCTATCGCCGAGATCTCGCCCGCCCGCCACCCCTCATTGGCTACCTCTGCCATCCCCGTCTGAGGCCATTGTGACATTCCGGCTTAGGGCTTAATAGAATTAATAGAATACTCATACCAACAAGTTGCAACTTCTTTTCCAGAAGCCGATAACTCTGAGGTTAAGCGTGCTCGGTTTGTAGCAATTTAGGGATGGGTGACCGATCGGGAAGAATTGTGTTGGTCTGATGACCTATAAAAGCTGCCAGATGTAAGTGGGCCCGGCCTGGGAGAGGAGGTGGGATCTTTTCCGGAAGCCAATCTTTAAAAAACTTGTGTTGGTCTGTGAGCGCAGTCTATGACCTATAAAAGTTACCAGATCTAAGTGGCCCCGGCCTGGGAGAGGTGGGATCTTTTCTGGAAGCCGATCTCTAAAGAATGGGAGAGGTGGGATCTTTTCCAGAAGCCGATCTCTAAAGAACTTTGAGGTTAAGTGTGCTTGGCCTAGAAATCTATAGCCTATAAAAGCTGCCAGATGTAAGTGGCCCCGGTCTGAGAGAGGTGGGATCTTTTCCGGAAGCCGATCTCTAAAGAACTCTGAGGTTAAGTGTGCTTGCCTGGGAGAGGTGGGATCTTTTTTAGAAGCCAAGAGATTGTCCTGGAAATTCTTCCAGAAAAAACTTGTGTATGTCTGTGAGCGCAGTTTATGACCTATAAAAGCTGTCAGATCTAAGTGGGCCCAGCCTAGGAGAGGTGGGATCTTTTCCGGAAGCCGATCTCTAAAAAACTTGTGTTGGTCTGTGAGCGCAGTCTATGACCTATAAAAGTTGCCAGATCTAAGTGGCCCCGGCCTGGGAGAGGTGGGATCTTTTCTGGAAGCCGATCTCTAAAGAATGGGAGAGGTGGGATCTTTTCCGGAAGCCGATCTCTAAAGAACTTTGAGGTTAAGTGTGCTTGGCCTAGAAATCTATGGCCTATAAAAGCTGCCAGATGTAAGTGGCCCTGGCCTGAGAGAGGTGGGATCTTTTCCGGAAGCCGATCTCTAAAGAACTCTGAGGTTAAGTGTGCTTGCCTGGGAGAGGTGGGATCTTTTTTAGAAACCAAGAGATTGGCCTGGAAATTCTTCCAGAAAAAACTTGTGTATGTCTGTGAGCGCAGTCTATGACCTATAAAAGCTGCCAGATCTAAGTGGGCCCAGCCTGGGAGAGGTGGGATCTTTTCCGGAAGCCGATCTCTAAAGAATGGGAGAGGTGGGATCTTTTCCGGAAGCCGATCTCTAAAAAACTTGTGTTGGTCTGTGAGCGCAGTCTATAACCTATAAAAGTTGCCAGATCTAAGTGGTCCCGGCCTGGGGGAGGTGGGATCTTTTCTGAAAGCCGATCTCTAAAGAACTTTGAGGTTAAGTGTGCTTGGCCTGGAAATCTATTGCCTATAAAAACTGCCAGATGTAAGTGGTCCCGGCTTGAGAGAGGTGGGATCTTTTCCGGAAGCCGATCTCTAAAGAACTCTGAGGTTAAGTGTGCTTGGCCTAGAAATTCTCTGAGGTTAAGTGTGCTTGACCTGGAAATTCTTCCAAAAAAGACTTGTGTTGGTCTGTGAGCGTAGTCTTTGACCCCGACATGGGAGAGGTGGGATCTTTTTCGGAAGCCGATCTCTAAAGAACTCTGAGGTTAAGTGTGCTTGGCCTGAAAATTCTTCCAGAAAAGACTTGTGTTGGTCTGTGAGCGCAGTCTATGACCCATAAAAATTCTTCCAGAAAAGACTTGTGTTGTTTTGTGAGCGCAATCTATGACCTATAAAAGCTGTCAGATGTAAGTGGGCCTAGCCTGGGAGAGGTGGGATCTTTTCCAGAAGCCGATCTCTAAAGAACTTTGAGGTTAAGTATGCTTGGCCTGGAAATTCTTCCCAAATGCGCACGAGTGAGGACAAAGTGTGCAGAAAAGACTTGTGTTGGTCTGTGAGAGCAGCATATGACCTATAAAAGCTGCTAGATGTAAGTAGGCCCGGCCTGAGAAGGCGGGACGTTACAGCATCCACGGCGCCGGCGCGAGCGCGAGCGCGAGGTGAGGCACCGGCGGTGGCGGCGACAACACAAGCTCGGCGGCTCCGCCTCTCCCCTCTCCCTTTCGGCCCTCGCACGCCGCCGTTGCCGCTCCGGCCCCGCCCGCTGCTCCAGCGCAGCAAAGGGGGAGAGAAAGGGAAGGAGAGGATGGTTGTGGGCCCCACGTGTTAGTGGGTCCTACTATTTTTTTTTGTGTGATTGACAGATGGGTCCATATATATTTTTTAAAATTTTAATGCCACGTAAACGCCACTTGAACGATGACTAGGTCAATATTAACATGTAGGCGCCACTTCAGCGAAACCGGCCTTCAAAACCGCCGAGGCATTCAAATTGCACCGGTTTTAAGAGTTTGGGGGTCGAGATATCTGGTTTTGTGATCTAGAGTCATAGATTAGATTTCAATCACCAAGTGAACTTATTCCTTTTTTTTTCAACGTGGGAGTATCAGACTGTGTTGGGCGAGCTACAGTGACTAAAAGCGAGCTCCACATCCGGCACCTCAAGTAATTTCTTATTAAATTTGGAAGGCAAAGCTCCTTTAGGAAAATTATTTTCAACTATTTTTCTATAAATTACAAGTCTGCTTTCATTTTCTGGGAATCAAATATTATGCTTCTGTTTGTCTTATCATTTCTCAAACATTTTAGTCTGTTAGAAATTATCGGTAATAAATATGAGATATCCTGCACACTTACAGATAATCAGTGAGAATTCTCTATCGGATTTGCTAGATTTCTGTTAACAGAAAACAAGGAGAAAAAATTTCGATTTTTTGGCCGTCGGATTTGCCTTGAGATTCGTGCTGGTATGTGGAGGGGAAAAATCTGCGTGAGAAAGCCTGTGTACTTGCAAGGGTTCGAACTTATCACCTCACTCCCGCACCTCAAGGTGACCAGATAATCCTTTGGTTTCAAGGGGTTCGAACTTAGCACCTTGAACTTAGCTTGTGCACTTGCCTTTTTTTTCTCGCTCGCACGGTGGACGGCGAGAAAAAAATGGATTGGCGCCAAGATTCAAACCCAAAAAAGGGAGCAATGCCAGAATTCAAACCCAACACACGGAATTCGGTGGTGAACACAAACCATTAGGATACATCAAGTTATAGACTAACTTGAGCAAATGACCATACTCCATATAATACTCCTTCGGACTGATAATATCAAGAATTTTAAACCCTGAGAGTATTGCGTACCGTTACATGGGTCGGATCCCTATATAGAAATTGATCGTAGTTGGATTCCAAACCGTTGATAATTTTTTCATTCATCTTCTTCTTCACCATCATAATGATTATCATTATTAATTATTTTGAGACGGGAATGCTGGCAAGTTCACAGGAAAAACATCTTGGGGTGGGCGCACACCCACCAGCGGCTTGAGCAGCCACCTTCCATGGTCGATCGGCAGGTGACAAGATATAAAATGCTGCATATCGTGTTAGCACCGGGTGATGCCGATGGTCTGTCATAAAGGGTTGACGCTTGAAAGGGTAGTGTAGTGCCGTGCTTTTAAAACCGTGCTAGGTGGGTGAGCAACTGTGAGCATAGAAGCACCTCGACCAGATAATAATAGTCTCTTTAATTATTGCCCACAGGAAATGGAGAGTCCAAGTTTGTTAGTAGTACTAATAAACTCCCTTCCCTCCTCACAATCAGAGAGAGAGAGAGATCGCGTGCGATTTGACAGAGATGCTGAATTGCTGATATGCTTCGATCATACTGGATGGTACTTGTTGCATGCACACTTGACACGGCTTCGACGGCGCTCGCCTGGTAGGTGATCCATAGCACCACACAATCACAATGCGAGCGTTTCA